CGCTGAAGGCAAAGAGCCGCGCCTTGTCTTGGACAGCACCGTGTGCCAAGTCAATACCAGATGCTATCTGCCAGAGCGCCTTAGCTTGCCAATGGCATCTGATTTGGCGCTGTCCACGCAGCCAGAAGACACTCCAGGCGCCTTCATAGGCGCCAGCATTGACTTTAAAGCCGCACACAAACAGGTGCAAGTCCGCCCTGAAGAGCATGGCCTTCTACTCTTCGCCTTTCAAGGAAAGCTCTACCATTACAGGGTGTGCCATTTTGGGGGCCGTTTCTCGGCTTTCTGGTGGCAGCGCACCGGCGCATTCTTCCTTCGTCAGGTGCATGGGTTGCTAGCCTGGAAGCCCCACAAAGCCTTCCTTTTTGTGGACGACCTGCTGTGTGCGCTCAGACATGTTTGCCTTGGTGGTGCTTTTCTTTTGTGCCATTGCAGCGCCCATTTCGTGGAAAAAGGCGCAGTTCCAGGATAGCCTGGTTTGGTGCGGTTGGGAGATCAACTTCTCCCACGACACCATTCAGCTCGTGTCCGCTAAACTAGCCAAGCTGGACGCCTTGATCAAATCCCTTCTGGGAAATCGACGGGTGCCCCGCAAAACACTCGAGCAGTGCATACACCTGCTTATTTGGGCCACCAGCATTGCCCTACACCTCAGGTCCTGGCTAGCACCGCTGTACGCGGACCTCAACAGCCCACCAGGCTCGATGCACTCGATACCGCCTCAAATGTGGTCAGCCTTTAGAGCATCCTTGAATAAGGACCTCAAAACTAGCCATAGCCTCCCGGGCTTGTGGATCACAGTGGGCTCCAAAATCTTGGAAATTTCAGGCCGCGCCATGCATTGCCCCCAGGACATCCCACAAGTGCCTGGCACTAGCAAGCCCACATGGGTGCGCGTCGCGGACCCCAACAACCCATACACTAGCCTTTCCAAGTCAAGCCAACAGTGCCTTACTTGGCTGGCGTCGTGCTTTCGGCACTCGCCTATTCAGCCTTTGGCGCGGCCACACCAGCTGCAAGCTCTGGCTGCCGCGGATGCGTGTGCCGAAGATGATTTGGTAGGGATCGGGGGCTGGGCAATCACATCCTCCCAAGTGGTGTGGTTCGCCAAGACCTGGAACATGCAAGACATAAGAGCCGTGTGGCCTTGCCTTGTCAAGCCTGGACAGCGGTGCATCGCATGCTTCGAAACTCTGGCACAGTTAGCACTGCTGCAAGCAACCCGCAGCCACATTGGTGGTGGGCACTACTCGTTTAGCATGCCTTCAGGCACAGACAATTCCGCCACGGAAGCAAGCCTTAACAAACTGTTCACGACATCGCCATCGCCCCGAAAGTCGCATACGCTTCAGCCCTGCAAGCCTAGCGATGTCCGGCCGAGGCATTCAACTGTGTCCGATGCATGCGCCCTGGCGCCCGGAGCATTTGGCAGCAGCCTCCGTCACCGCTGCACCAGCCTAACTTGCATCCCGACATGGCCTCGCGACCAAACGACCGCCGTTGCCCTGTCAGGCGACGTCAGCCAGCCGCTTACTCAAGCCGCTCTGACCAGGAAAAAGTGCAGTCACTGCATAACAAGCTGCTCACAGCCCAGCGTGCATGGTCACGCTAGCATCTGCCCTGCCAGGTACAACCCCACTCTGAAGGGCGGGTGATGAGGCCTGCGGCCCAGCGGGTTCGCTTTTACCGGGGTTGCCTGAAACACTGAAGGGGGGGTCAATGTGCCTCCTGTTCCAGGCGCGCTAGTGCCCTGAAAGCAGTGCAACTTTCAGCAATCCCGGTAAAAAGAACTGCGGCCGCTTCGGACGAGCTTTGTTCTTTTGAGGTTCCATGTTTGGGTTCAAGCTAGGAGCAGTGCAACATGCCTTAACGCTTAGGGTTTCTTTTCCCTTGTGTTTAGGGCATGTGGTGAATCGAACTATGCGTTGGCCGTTTTGCTCCTAGCCTTGACCCGAACCTGCGGTTTCATTTCTTGAAACCCACCCACCCGCCCTGCACTGCCCTATGCCAGGCTTTGCAAGGATAGGTAGCAGACTCTCTGCACTTTCATGGGTGGCCTCCGGGCCTTTTGGTCTCCGGACCAGGTCTCCGGACCACCTTCAGTCTCCGGACCCCGAGTCTCCGGACTTTCGGTCTCCGGACCTTGGGGCGTGGGCACGCATGCCGCGCCCCCCAAGCACTGCATTTATACGCAAGGACACGCATTGTCTTGCCTTTTCACATTTCGGGGGGTCAATGTGCCTCCTGTTCCAGGCGCACTAGTGCCCTGGAAGCAGTGCAACTTTCAGCAATCCCGGTAAAAAGAACTGCGGCCGCTTCGGACGAGCTTTGTTCTTTTGAGGTTCCATGTTTGGGTTCAAGCTAGGAGCAGTGCAACATGCCTTAACAATCTTGATCTTCCCCATTCGTCCCTTTGCGTTACTTCCCAAATTCACGCACCTGGACCGGCTGCTGGGCGACGTCACTGTGCTGCACTCGCCCTCCGGAAAGCTAGAGTACTACCTTGCCGCCCGGCGCCCGGGCCTGGAGGTGCGCGGCGTCGACGCCTTCGAGCCCGTCGCCGTCCTCGGGAATCGCGTGTGCTGCAGAGGCTGAGGGTTGGGGTCGGCCCGCGCTGTAAGTTCAGCACGATGGCTCCATCCACCCCCGTGTGAGCCCTGGCGCCGCCGTCCGCGGCCTCCGTGATCTGTTGTCGTTGTTTTGAAGGCAGGCCTTAATGGGGGCTTAAAGGGGGGCTCAAGCCTTGGCACCTTTGGCCGGGTAGGGGGGAGCTTGAGGGGGGGCTTAAGGGCGAAGGTGGCTTGCGTTCCACGCTTTGAGAACAGCATTGGCATAAGGGCAAAGAACCCTGCTTGGTTGTGGGACAGCACAATAGGTGGAGTAAACCTCAAACGCAACATACCAGAGCGCATGAGCCTTCCAATGGCATCTGATGTGAGATTCCTTGTTGGACAACGTGCTTGATGCCATGTGCGCACGCACTTGAGCGAGCTTATCCACTGCATCCAAGCTTTCGAGGCCCCTTTGTTTCGCTTCGAAGACACTTTGTTCCATTACCGCACAGGCGCATTTTTGCTACGCTTGCTACATGGTATCCTGGCAAGCAGCCCGCGTAGAGCATGGATCTTTGTGGATGATCTTCTGGCGAAAAGTTCAAATCCAGGACCAACTCATGAAACTATAGAGTTGACGCCTTCCAAGACTATAGGACCAACTGCAGACATTGCCAAAATCCATTGAGCGTAAGCTCTTGGAGCAGGTTCTAGGCCTGCTCATATGGTCAACCAGCTTGAGTATAGAGCTGAGAGCATGGCTCGCGCCTCTTTATGCGGACTTGCATTCACCTGGCGCCACAAGTCCGCGAAAACATTGCATCCCTGGCGCCTGAAGGGGGGGCGAATGGGATTTCTGGTTGCTCAGAGCCCTAAAATGGGGGTTTGATTCCAGGCCCCGCATGAGATGCAGACTGGACACGCATTGTTAATCCCCCTGCTTCTTTGGGCACCTCTGAGCAACATCGCGGAAAAAGAAACGGAGTTTTTTCCTTGGCTTGTTCCCCCGATTGTTGGCTTGAAGCAGTGAACAGGATTCTAACGTTTGGTTTTTTTTTCCCCTTTGTTTTAATCCTTTTGAATCTTCGGCCGTTTCTGCTTCAAGCCTTTGGGGATCTTCATTTCAGGATTTGACCCCTTTTTCAAAAGCCCAAGTACCCTGGGTGACGGTACCTCAGCATGCACATGATGCAGGTTGGTCATGTGTGGACATTTTCTAGTTGAAAGGATGGCGCTTCTGTTTGTTGGGTTTGGGGCTTTCTTCCCTTTTCAGCTGTTTGTTCTTTCTTGGCGCAGTGTTTTGCTGGTGGGCTTTTCTTCTTTAACACGCTTTCTGAGCTTCCGCAGTGGGCGGAAAAAAACGAATCCAGGGAAACCCTCGGCTGTTGAGAGCCCATGTTTTGCAACAAGCACTTGAACACACCCGCAGGAAGTGGGTGTAGTGGAGCAAGATCTTCATACTGCGGTTCCTTGCCCGTGGAAATGATCCGTGACTGCAAGGGAAGGACGTTTCCTGAGATCCTGTATAGCCCAAACGCAGATGGAGTGGTGCGCCACGCGCCCCTTTCTGCTGTGAAGGTGTCGCAAGTCCTACACCATGGAAAACAAATGGATTTTCTTCCTTATGGGTTCTGGCAAGTGGTGCCATCTTGCACCCGAGTGTAAACGGGGATTCCATTGGGCGACCCTTGGCAACCGTACGAATTGTTTGCTTGGAATGATGCATGTCTTTGGTTTTCTTTGATTCCGTCCAAAGGTGTTCCCTCGTCTTAAGCGCCCAGAAAACAAGGGGCTTCGTGAGCACACCAACCGCAAAAGGCATGTGGATACCTTCCTGGTGGCAGCCTGCAACCTCCGGAGCGTTTTGCTTCAAACAACGCCCGCCCGAGCGCATCCCGTTTCCCGTTCGGGAGGGGTACGGGTCGCCCCGCCATGTTTCCCGCCATGCTGTCGCCCAATTTGATGTGTGCAACTTGGGTGTCCGAGTTCAGGTAACCCTAAATCGGTGCTTATCGAAATGAGGAAGACACCCAAGATGATTGGTTTCGTTTTGGAATCCCTTTGAACCAAAGGGTACCTTAAAAGATACACATCCAAATGGGTTCTAGCAAATGGGTTCTGAACTCACAGCGTACTTCCAGAGCAGACCAGTAGTTGTGCTCATTGAAAGGGACAGAGAGGGAGAAAACAAATCCACAAGAACTGGGGACTCACTCAATTTCTTATGTCCTCTTGGGGAAACACTTCATTTTGACTGTGGCTTCGGTGACGTAGCGTCGATCCCAGGCCTGCTCCAGTCTTCCCCAAGATATTTGCTTGAGGCGGTGGCGTTTTGCTCGTTTTGTTGGGGAGTCCCCCCCAAAGTGAGATTTGCATTCGCTGTTTCCATGTGAGCCGTGCCTTGGCCAGGTCTGCAATTGTTCCTAGAGGACTGTTCCTGCAGACGGCATGTTGCCAAGATTCAGCTACCCAAACTACCAAAACATGCCTGGGGCCTCAGAGCTGCGAGTGAGGGCAGGGGGGAAGCTGTTCAGGTTCCTTGTGTTCATCTACAATCATGTCGTTGCTCAAGTCTCACATCACTTGCCCGAACTGTATTTCTCCAGATGTTGGGCTACGTTTGGCTCAAGGTCAACCTTGTAAGGTGCCTGGGAGACATATTGGCGACAAACAGACCACCACCTTCAGCTGTTTCTTACGAGGTTTCTGCTTGGTTTTGGCGATCCGTGTCATTCCGAGTCTTTAGTGTCTGCTCGTCCTTCGAAGTGAGTGCGTGGGTGGGTGAGTGAGTGATTCGGTCCACATGGATTAGGCCAACCGATCCGAGGAAGACACCAATCCGCTGTACCCTACCAACAAACATGGGGGTGGTTTTGTCCAACCTATGGCCCCATTTTGGACCCTGGTCCACCTTGTGCCACCTTGCAAAGCTCCCACAGGGAACCCACCAAAAAAGCTGGTCTTTCAGAACATGCCAGTCAGGGGTGAATGTCAATGTGGGCAAAGTCATATTTGTTCAACATTCTCGATTTTTTCCCGGGTTGCCAATTCTTGAGCGTGGCGAGCGAGCCGCTTGTTGTTTGGCGTTTTATAAAGGGAAACAAGGTAAAACGTTTTTGTTTTGGTATGGGAGCCCTCGGTTCACACCGCACACCAGCAAATGTATCTTGACGCTTGAACATCAACTTTCAGCTGCGTTTTGGGCGAAAGCTGCTTTTGGTTCCCGAATGCGCCGCCGGGGTCTGAGCCATCAAAATCTGAGACGTTTGGTGGGATGCTCCTGCCAGAAATAGGTTGAGAGCCTTCCGCTCTCAACATGTTTGTATTCATAACTCTTTGGGTTTGGTTTGTTGCCGGTATTTTAGCCAATTTTGGCTCACTTTGTTGCACCTCTTTACCTGGGACACTATTTTCATTAATTAATTATATATATATATATATATATCCCTTACCATGCCAAACATATCTCTTTTTTTGTTTTTCGCTGACCAGGATGGGGCTTGCAGTACCTCAAGCAATGGGACAGAGGCCCGGGCGAGGTGTTACTTGTTTTGTGCGTGGGTCTGGGAAATCTTTACAGGGAAACCAAAGCGGGGCCGGCCCATGTTGAAAAACGTGTTTGCGGCTACTGCTGGGAGCGACACGGGGGACTACGTCAAAATTTCAGCCACAAAAACTTAAGGACTCACTCAATTCCCATGTTCTCTTGGGCGTGCCACATTTCGTCGGAGTTGCCTTGAGGCTCATGACCCGACCCTGACCACCGAACCCTTGTAAACAGCCTTTGTGGCCCCAAACCGGGAGCCTGAGGGTGGAACCGCTTTTACGGGTTATTTGAAAGCGCACTGAGACAAACCACCCATTCTGGGATTCCGGGATTTGGATTAGTTTATGTCCATTTGGGAGGGGTGAGCTCTAAGATTCCGCACAAACATTTCCCATGTCCACTAGGGCAACAGCAGCGTGTTGACCGTTGCTCGCTCTGTGGGCTGTCCCTGACTCGCGGTAAATGAAATCACAGCAGACTCACCTGGGGTATGTTGTACTAGCCTGGGGGGTAGGCTCTGAAGTTAAAAGTGACACATTCCCAAATTCCAACTGCCCCACGCCTGCGGTAAAGTAGAATAAGTATGCACATTCCTATATATGTGTTTTTTGCTTCTTCTGCCTGCCTGTCTGTGCGTCTGTTTGTCTCTATGTAATGTAATGTAATGTCATGTCATATAATGTCATGTAATGCAATGTGATGCAATGTAGCGTAGTGCAGTGTCATGTAACGTACTGTATAGAAGCCGGGGTTAATATGACTTGTTTCCCCAAAAAGACCATGGACACAATACTTTGCGTGTTGTTCTGGAGGAATCGAGTGAGTTCCCCCCAAGTCCCTCCCAACGGACCGTGGACTATGCTTTCGCTTTCGAAATGCCGTCCAACTCCAAGAAGATCCCTCATTTGGACGAGCCATTTCAGCAACGTCAACCCACACGTAAGCTGATCAGGTTCCCTCTGAGTGGTAGTTTGGTTTGGTGGTTTGGTGGTTTGGTGGTTTGCAGGCGGTTTCCTATTTCCCGTCTACAAGAACCAGGGCTTCAAATCAAACCACCAAGCGTCGGGAGCAGTTGAGGGCATGTTCTGAGCATTTTGGATGGCGTGCCTTTGACCAAGGAACCAGTTGAAAGATGCCCCTGCAAGCAAAAACAATGGATCGTCAGCGCCAACCCCCGCATACGCATCCTCCTGTGAGTCTGATTCGGGAACGATTGGTTTTGGGTTTTCCGTTCAGGGCGATCGCTGGCATGACCCCCACCCACTTGTGAATCCAAGGGCGGCTTGATTTAGCCAACCATTGTGGTTTTGGGTATGTTTCTCAAAGGTTCCCGTGCCAATGCACTGATTCGTAGCCACAGCAAGGGGAGCCAGGATGTCGCACTAGTCGCCCGAGTTTGGGACGGTTGGGACAGCCATGATTGGGAAACGGTACATGGCTGGTGCCGATTTCTGTTAATTTCCGAAACTGTTTCCTGAAATGGTCCGCCCAAAGAGGGGCTCCCAATTTTGCGACCCAAGCCAGATCTTAAAACGGTCCTATCACGCCCAGTCATCCTTATAGGTGGCATCCAGGCTTTCTTTCCTGTGGGTTTTACGTGAGATGATTGACCTGGGTAACTGCCCGGATAGATGGAGCGGTTTTGCAGCAGTTCTGTCTGGTGTGCGCGTTTTTGGTGGAACTGGGAAACGGAGCGGACCAGAGAGGGAAGCGGCTTCGGCAAAGCGCTGAGCCCGCGGGTTTCCCTCGGAGCCCGGGGTTTGCCGCGGTTTTTCGCCAGCGCTGCCCCGGCCCTGCCAATGTCGCAGCCTTGGGGGGCGTTCGATCGGATTCACTCACCGCGGATTCGGAGGTATTTGCCTAGGAGGAACCTGCTACGGGGAATTTTGTGACATGGGGAAAAAACGGGCACCTTTTCTGTGTCACCTCATTTCGTTCCCCCCCCCCACAGAAGCCGAAAAGGGCTCTGCTGTCCGGGGCTCTCTTCTCTCATACAGAAAGCCAAGGCCTGCAATTGACTCAATGAGGAATCTGCCTCGGCTCACCTCACACCATTGCTTGACCCAAACCAACGAAAACCCTCACGACATATGCCAGAGACTTTGCAGGTTGGGTCTACTTTCAGTGCGGGCAACCTGAAAGATGATCCCTGAGGTCCTGTTCAGGTATGTCTGAAAGTCTGAAATTAGGACAGCATATCCTTTTGCATGGAAACTTAGACGCCACCGCCGCTTCATCGCTTGCTGTGTGGTCCTCCGAGGCCTTCTTTGAGTTAGACAAATGGGTCGAATTCCACAGACAAACAAGTGAATCCGAGCAGAGGAATTTCAGGAGGGAACCTCCCCCCGAAAATGCAAGTCTAAAGTTCTTTGTGGAGCCCTCGACGGAGGCAAAGGATGTAAGACGCGCATTTTTGGCAGTGTTAACCATTGATAGGCTCCTGCTCTCCTTGAAACACGCCCGATAAAAGGGGTGGCCTAAACCCCAAACGTGGAAGCCTCACAGCCACTCGGATCGCTCGCCAACTCTACACGCTTTGGGGATTGTTGTATCTGCGAGATCGATGCCACATTCGACAGATCTCGATGAAATCTCTCGGCTTCTAGGGCCTCCCACTGAATCCTCTCGTCGAGATCGACAAGCTTCGAGCGAGTTTCTTGGCGAGATGCTTCCTCGTCTTTGGAGCGTCAGAATCGCTTAGAGATGCAAGATTCTCGCATCTCTGAAGCTTTCTCAGACTTAGTCACGTCCACTAGCTCGATAAGAAGGCATGGAAGGCGCAGGCTTGGGGCTGTTGACACAGGCAGTGGAACCTTGGGTCTTCAGAAAAGCCCACTTTCTGTCCACATGGAGTGCCCGTTCATGTCAAAGCCCCTTCCTCACTTTGCCCTTCAAGCTCGGCTTGGCTGAGTTTGGCAAGCCGAGAGCGCGAAGGAGCCACAGTCAAATTGGCGAGACAGGACGATGGCCTTTCGCCGCATCGGATGTGAGGGGCTGTTGCAAGTAAATCTGAGTCAGGGGTGGGCACACTGTCACCGTTTGACATAAGTTATGACAGTTATGACTGATGCGGTCGAAATCAGGGTCTAGCTTCTTTGCCTATGCATCCCGCTTTCTTTGTCAGGAGAGACATGTCTCGCAGCGTACAATGGCATCGTAGCTATTGATTTCTTCCTGTGGACTCTGGCAGGTGCTTCGCAATGGCCTCCATTTGGTGTTTGAAGATGAGAGCAAGGGCAAACCGAGCCAGTATTCAAACAGCCTTTAGGGCCCCAGAGGCAAACCAATCGAGTCCAAGCCTCGCGCCCAGGGCCAATCCGTACTTGGCCAGTCAGGGCCCAGTTCTGCCGATGTCCCACATGGAGATGGCGGGGACTTGGGAGAAGGGGGGAGCTGCCCAAGAAAAGACGGTCACGGCAATGAGACTCTGAATTTGGACAATTGAGGTTGCACAGACCTCGACTGTCGGTTTTGAGACGTCCTCTGCCTCATCGAAGAACCAAACGGCAAATCACATGCCATGTGGTTGGTAATGAGCTTTTTCCATCAATTGGTTAAGTCTGTTTCAACTAAGGGATTTGAGCCTGAAAATCCAAGGGCGTGCTCAGCACAGAGAGGTCGACTAGCTTTTGTGCGGTTTCGGAAGCTACGGCAGATCTTTCGTTCTCGGCATGCGATTGCTGCTTGGTGTCGTTGCTGGAGTTGGTGCTCTTGTGCTTGGGACATCCTTGGTGTTTTTGGGTCCCTGTTGCGAAACGTGAGTGTTGCGGAGAAACTAAAAGCAAGTACGCCATTTGTTGAGGTCTGATTCCTACTTTGCGAGATACCCATTTTGTGCCGGCGGATGGGCATTTACAAGTTGTTGGGTATGGGATGTTTGCCTGCTTTGGCCGCGGACCAGGCTGGCAGGTGAGTTGAGTTAGTCTGCTGTGGGTTTGGGAACTTCCACACAACAGACGGCTGGGATCATCCAATTTTCCCATATCCTTTTTAGAACCAAGGAGTTTTTCCCTGTTTGGCTTGGTAGTTTCCCAACTTTAGATTATAACGCCGCGCGAAAACGTCTCACATTATGGTGTATGCATTTTGTTTGGCCATATGACATCGCACCACATGAGAAACACATTGGCTTGTGATGGAGAACCAATGACGCCTGGTTTGGTTCAATCTACAAATCTACCCCACATTCGGAGACAAGCTCAAGTTGACTCCTTAGTGTGCTGGGCTTGCCTTGCTGGATGTGCAATGCAAAGTGGCAACTTGAAAGGGAGCTTCCGATGGTCAGACAATGGCCACAGGCTTTCTCGTGAACGCTTGGCGCAGGCGTCTGCGCTGGATAGCTGCAAAGCCCGCGCACAAGCGGCTGAGGCGCAGGCGTGCGGCTGTGAGTGATGGGAACAGTGACCGCTTGAATCGGGTAATGTTGACCCCATATGAATCAACCCCGACTTAGTAATAGGGGTGTGTTCCTGGGTTTAGTGGGGAATCAGACCACCTCTGGAGGGAACACCCACCTATCAATGAACTGGGGTTATTTAGCTGACATCGCTTTTTTTTGCCCATCTTCAAACAAGTTTCGTTTTGCTGGATTGAAGTTTCAAGGGACAGGGCAAATGCTCGCGGATTCATAGGTTTGCCCTTTGGGGCTTCATAGAGGACTCGTCACGTTGTTTCTCCTTACAGTGATAAGAGGCTGCATCATGGGACATTCAATCTATCGGCTACAGAAATTGGAGGCAGCATTTCTTCTTGACCCTTGGGCTCTTGGTGGAAGGGCCTTTCTGGTGGGACCTCTATGAGCCTTTGCTCGGAGCCCAGGCTTGCACATTTGGTATTGCTGAGCTTTGGTTTCTCGCTTTGGCTTTTGGACCAAAGCGAACAAGCAGGTTGCCTGAGTTTAGTGCCATGTTCAGCTGACCCGCGCCAGGTCGCACAACTCATGCAGATCATGGAACTGAGCCAGAGCAAGGACAGACCCTTCAATGAGAGGGGCTTCTAGCGACTGCTCCTCAGCCTTTGACTTTGGTGGCGTGAAACAAAAGGTTTCCCCGTTTTGGCTGCTGTTTAAAGGGACAATGTACCCCACTCGAACCCGAACCCGAACCTGAACCCCCCCTCAAAAAAAGATAACAATAAACAACATAAAAAAGAAACCTAAACCGGAACCGGAACCCGAATCTCCCCGCTGAAAAACAGAAGAAGAGAAAATCGCCCCGCCGAACCCGAACCCGAACCCTGACACTTGTCAGCTCGCTACCCGACGATGGCGCTTGTCCTCGCGCTTCAGCCACCTCCTGACAAACTAGCCGTTACAACTAAGGGGCTTCGTGGCCGGCCCTGGGGTGACACGGAGTGGCTGGCGTGTCGGTGCGCGGCAAGTAGGTGAAGCCACGGCCTTGGCCAGCCGCCTTGGCCCAGAAAATGCAATCCTGCAGGCAAGCGGCGGCGCCCCGGCGGGCCTGGGTGATGTATGTGCAGATGTAGGTGAGCTTTATAATCAGCCATCAGCAGTATCCTCAGTTGCATTTGGTCACGACACGCATGCCGTGCATTCAGCTGGTAGGCCGAGTCACCATGAAGCATCATCAAACCATCATGACCTCCTACAGTGGGTGCTGAGCCCCCCCCTGCAAGCGGACGCGACACGCCCGGCCCCAAACCCGAACCCGACCCCCCCCCCCCCAAAAGGAAAACACACAAATCAAAACATGAGCCCTGCCCGAACCCGAGCCGAACCCAAACCTCCCCCCCCCAACCCCGAACCCGAACACGAAGCCCCCCCTTCACCCCCCAGGCCGAGGCAGAGGTTGGGTTAGGGGTTCGTCGGGGTACACGCTGAGGGAAGCCGACGTGGGCGAGCCCCCATTTGGTTTCCCAAGTTCGCAAAGACTGGAATCGGATCTCTGGGCTGTGGAATCGGATCCACTTGTCGCCCCAAAACATCGAGCTGCAAGCCGTGACGAAAGCCTATCTGTGCATGGTGTACCCCAAACGAACACCGAAAGACCGTATGGATGACAACCATGGCGATGAGTCAGCTATCCTCCCGCGTATAACTCTGGTTGCAACACACTTACTAGATAGGTTGAGAGCATCAAGTGGGACAGCCCTATTTCGGGTGTTGACCATGTTTATCAGAGGTCACCATGACCCTGGCAGCTATTTGGAACCCAGGATGAGCAGGAACGCTGTTTGATCACTAGCAAATATCCTTCACTTGAACGGCAGCACCGGCAATGATCCGGGCTTAGTCTTAAAGCCGGGGTGGACCTTTCGGCGTTGGCCAGATCCGTTTTCGCTGAGCTTCTCGCAAGATTCCCACCAGGGAAGTGGTCAAACGAGAAAATCCCAACAGAGATGTTTTCTTGCAACTCGTCATTCCAAGCTGTTTCTATTTTGTTTTTTACTTGAAACCCGTAAGGTCGGGCTCGCTCACAGCACTCCGTGCCCTGGCTGATTCCCTTGAAATGACGCCCCACGATTCATCCGCCAGATGTGCTTGAAATCGGGGTCAATATAACTCCTTGAGGACCAAACCACTAGGGTGGCCCGTGATTCGTAGAAGTACTTCCACACCACACCAAACACACCTCTCACAACTCCGGGTGTGTTCAGTCCTCGAGGGTGACAGATTGACTGGAGCTCTGTGGGTTTTGGGTTGTTTCTTAAGGTAAACTAGAAAAGAAGCCGAACCCAGGTGGCTCTGTGCAAAACGCCTTTTCCAGAGCGGCTCTTGCAACGCGAAACTCCCCCTTCTGCATTTGTCCCTTACCCAAGGAGGTCGCGGATTTCTTTCAGCTGAAGTGCTCGGTTCCTTGAATCAAAAAATCAAAAAGCATGGGCCGAGCTGTGAGGAGGCCCATGATCCCATGGGCGTCCCTGCCATGCCCGGGACCCGAAGGACCCGGGACCCGGGACCCGAGCCCGGAAACCAACGGAGAGTTGCCCGGGGACAGCCAAAGGGAAAGCAAAGGGAAGCCAAGCAAACGAAGACACTTGGCCCAAAAAGGCTTCCCCCCCTTGGAAGGAGCTTCTTTGAAAGAGGAGGCAAGTTTTGTCCGGCCCCAGATTGATTGACAGCGAGTTCCTTTCCCAGCTGGTGATTTTTTTAGGCCCTCGGCGCTGGAATGGTTGGGGCCGGAGGGAGGCCTTAGCTTTTGGGCAGATGGCAGGTCAAGACGCGTCTTTCTCAGTCTCAGTTTTTTTCTTCTTTTTTTTCTCTCTCCGGTGGTTCTTCTTCAGGGCTTTTCCGAAAAGGACCCCCCCACTCCGGGGGGGGGGGCTGCGGCCGCGGCTTTGCGGGATGCTTCGATCTCCATGGGCACGGAGTGGGACCTCTTTGCGTATGGACGTTTGGGCCCGGTGAGTCTGTCAGTCCCTTTGAAGACCCGAGGGAGCAAGAAAGACAGCCCCCAGGTCTTTCTCAAGGGGGCCGTGAGGCCTGGACTCCAGAGGGCATAGGGCTGGAAAGTTTGTTTGGAAGGCATGCATGTGTCAAAGGTGCAAGACGAAGGGCGAGCCAGTTTGGGACATCGTTTGGCCGTGATCTAAGACAAGCTTGATCGTTCTCTATCTTATGCTCGGAAAGGCTGCATGCAATATCCCGCCCAACTGCTACCTTCTGATGGCCTGATATGTTTGTGTGAGCAATGGCTCCGATACCGACGAAGGCTTGCCGACTCTGGGCATCAAGTGTCCGTGCAAATTATAGATGCTGACATTCAACACGACTGGCAGGCTGATCCAACAGCCTATGCGGTTTGCTGAATCCTGACTTCCAATGGGTGTTTAAAGAGGTCGCAGCCTCAACATAGCCTCCATGCCCGCCTTTGTGTTGTGTTTTTCTTTTTGCAGGGGGATGCTCTACTTTGGGTTTGAGCACTTTTTGGTTTAACTTGATTAGGGTCAGGTTAAGAGAATTCTACCCTTCCCGGAATGGAAGTGGACAGGAGGCTTTGTCAAGACAATTGTTTTGACCAAGATCCTTATGTCAGATTCCGGGATTGCGGGAAAGACGGTCTGCGTATGTGGTCTTCCTGGGTACGTGTCCAAAGGGAATCAGGCCCCTGCCAGCCAAGTGCCTGAGGCATCATCGGCCGAGTTCGGCATCCATGCCTGAGGCTGGCTTGGGCTGTGAACGGCGAGGGACGCTTTATTGGATTCACGCTATGAGGATACGAGACGTTTGCAAAGTCTCATGGTATAGACCTTTCTCGCTCATTCTCATGGAAGCTTTGTGAAGTGGACGTACATCCAACATGTTTTTCATGATGTCCACCAATTTGTGTCCAGTTCCAATCAAAAGTGGTTAACAACCGTATCTTGGAGTCCATGAACCGTCATGAACTTCACGCGTGGCTTGGCTTACTTCGCCACCTTTGATCGACTAGATCAACACGGGGAGCCCAGCTCACAGAAAAAAAACACGAGGGTTTCTGATCTCCATGAAGAGGATTTTCTGGGTTCGAGTGGATGTTTTTTAGTCACCTACCAGGGAAACCCCTGGTACAGGGAACCCCGCGATTTTGGGTTCCCATGTTGGTTTACGTGATTAGGTGAAGATAGATGGAAGCAAACTGGACTACATCCGTTTGGTCCGACCTATTTTCATCAATCCGTTTGGTCATACCTTCAGCTATTGAGAATCCGTCGCTCCACTCTACGATAGTTTGCACTACCCCCAAACACGAACATACATATATATCTATATATACTCCGGGAGAAAGGGGGACAACAAGGCTGTCAAAAGAAGTGGTTGTGTATCCCATTAAACCCCTGGAACCCCCGATAGCTACGGAAGGCGGTTCCCTTCACGTCTCACGAGCGAGCGCCAGGCTCAGCTCCCGCAGCGTTCGCTGCAACAGGCATTGGGTGTGACGTTTCCTCAGCCGGGCGCCCGGTTTGGGCGGAAGGTTCGGAGAGCCTATATGGTCACTGGGAATACATGGCGTGGTAACTGGGATCCTTACATATATTGATATGGATGCATCTATAAATGTATACACATAGATTTTGAGGTTCACGCAATCTGATCCAGACTTATGCAGGTATGTCTATATATTTATATGTATATATACTTACATATGCTTTGCAGCTCAGGTTTTGGAATATTTTCAAGGCCAGCCTCCACAGGTCCTGCGCCCCGAACCGACGCCTAAACCCAAAACGCAAACCAAAACCCTGAAGCAAAACCCTAAGTGTGAAACATGAACGCTGAACCTAACCCTAGAACCAAACCTAAGCTCTGAATTCAGTCCAAAACCTAAACCCCAAACCAAAGAAGGAGCCTAAACCCTGCACCTGAAGCTTCAACCCTAAACCAAAGCCGAAGCCTAATTCCTGCACCGGAAGCTTAAACCCTAAGCCACCCTAAACCAAACCGAAACCCAACACCTCAAGCCCAACGCCAAAGTATGACCTGGACGGGGCAGCGTATCTTTGGCCTTGCTTCGCAGTTATTGCCGGATGGCACAGGTTTCTGTTGGCAAAGGCAAGGCTTGCTAAGACTTCCAGTGCTAAGATGCGCTAGCACTATGCGCATCTTAGCTCTTTGGATGTTGACCCACACAGAATTGAAGATGCCGGGATTGAGGTAAGAACATTGAGCATGTTGTCGATCAGGAAAAAGTACATTCTACCTGCAGCCGAAGACTACAACAATAACTGGCTAGGAAAGTGATAAGAAGTGCCTGCACGCCTTCTTGGAGTCTCTTATCAGAAGAAAGAAGATTAGAAGGCAGCAATACACATGCCAGAGGTAAACCAAGCGCAAGCGCCGCAAGGCAGAGCGCAATTGGCATAAGGAAGTAGATGGTAGCGCAGCAATGCCTTCAACATGGTACTGTGAACCAGGGTTAAGGTCGATACACATCTTTGAGCATGCAGCAGACATTTTTGCAGAATGTACAGGGATTAGCATGCAATATGTATACACGAGTCTCCCGAGATCTCATTGCTACACTGCAGGGTCCCCGTCGACCCAACACCAAGTGGTGCCCAGCGCCCCAAAGCATGGCAACATGCAGAGTGTGTTTCTGGGTTCATTGCTTTTAGGTCATGTTTTAAAGGACCAAGCATTCAAGAGGGCCATTTTTCAATCGCTTCAATGCATTACGTTTTAGTACGCTTCAACGTAGTGTTGGATTGACAATTCAAGATTCTCAGGACTCTCATTTGGAACCTTACGTGCAGTAAGACTTTCAAGTTGCAGCTTAAAAGCGATTGGTTTAAAGGATTGCCATGACAGGATGGAGCCCATTCGACGCAGCGACCGCAGTAGAATGCACATGATCGACAGCTTGGCAGCATCGCTACTTGCTGCGCCCATCCACCCAGCAGATGAAGAAGGAACATAATCCGCCGTGGTGAGTTATATATATATATATGTATGTATATATATATATATATATATGTACTACTGGCGTGGTGGCCAGATGCCGGCAACGGCGATATTGGGCCGGCCCAACGAGGGCCGGGTGCCACATTGGAACATCAGCTTCACGCAGTACCAGCGCAGCTTGTATAGACTTTCACTGACAATAAACCCACAGAGTCCGTTGTAGAGGAAATGGCATCCATGACCCCCTCCCCAAGTTAGGTCCGTGTTAGTTGATGGGAGTGGCTGAATGAGTACTAAAAGTCTGCGTGGTTCCTACAACCATGACTGAATTTGGGTTTGTATCCAGTTGCTTGGGTCCTTACAGCAGGATAGAACTGGGAACGCCGGACAGGAGCTTGTAGATGCCACCGGCTTGTTCCCCACCTCGTCTGAATCTAATATGCATCGGTTCCAGCACAAACAAACAGTGTGGCCCATGTCAATGTGCAGCGGAGTAGAAAGTTCTAGTTGGCACCTTTGCAACCAATTGCAACAAAGGAACAGCGCAGTCGCCCAAGGCCTGCCACCCAAGTGTAGTTGGTTCCTTTCGGTGTTTCTTTCAGACACCATCCGGAGCAGAAGTTCAAACAAGGAAAACATGAGACATACTGCACATGCAAGTCAGAATGGAGCCACGGTTGTGCTAGATCTGCGTGAGAAGCAGAATCAATAATGATAGAACATGGGTACAAGCATCTGATGATTTGATGGAGGCAGCAAGGAAGCACAGTTGGGCTGTAGCTGGGACATCTACCGGTGCCCTCGTAGGGCGAATGAAGGGAGCTGCTGGCTTTGCAGCATACGCAGCTTTCAGTTTTGCAGGGGACGAAATGTGAGCAATTCGCCACGCTCCCAGGACACGAGAGCGAAGCCCGTTAGGGGTTGAAGGCGTCGCTGCAGGGCAATGAGCTGGGATTGCACCGAACTGGAGAAATCCTTTCTGGGTGAATGTGTTGGCAGTACACGAGCCCTTCCCGAGCAAATTGGGGGTCAATAGAGTTCCCAATTTTATTCCAAGGCCTTCAGAAGTGGAGCTCGCTAAGTTGCCATGAGGGTTGTTCAAGAAGGGTATGAACGGGTCCCAACTCTGGAGCCTGCCAAATCTTTCCTCACATAAAAAGACATCGTCCTTTGGGCAACCCATGTTGCGGCAACGTGGATAGCTGGTCCTGCGTGCAATTTCCGTGCTAACCATCACCTCTTGGGGGAAACACAGAAACTCCAGCCATCGACGACCATAGCCAAAGTGGTAGCCAAGAGAAGGAAGGTTGGGGTTGAAAAGCCCGTTAATTACTCAGCCCGGCATCTGGGTTTCATGGCTCATTGCCTCTGCCGTGCTGGTTTTACCGAGACCTTTTCCGTTTTACTCTTCTTTTGAAGTTTCCTCTTTTTGGGATCGACAGCCAAACAAAGGGTGCCAGTTCTTTCTGCGGGCACTGGAGGTCTGACAATGAAGGTGGGGAAGGTTGAGCATGTGATTAATATGTCTCTGACAGATGTTTGGTCAGGGTGAGCCACCCTAGAATCCCAGTTGTTTGGAACAAAAGCTTCTCCTTTGGATTGACAGGGTTAAACTCAGAATTTCTGGGCCCGTTTTCCACCTTGGGAAGCACACTTCCAAACTCACGCAGTTTGGGACCGTATCTGGTCATGAGCAAAGACAGGTCTGTATTACGGTCTGTTGTTGAAGGAAAGACAGAGGGAAAACTAGCCTTTCCCGTTTTAGCGCAAGGACGTCATTCCACGAAGAAGTTCCTACATTCCTACAATTCTTTCCAAAGGACCCCCCCCCACCGTGCGTACCTGTGTGTGCGTACCTGTGTGTGCGTACCTGTGTGTGCGTGCGTGTGTATGTGTGGGTGGGTGGTAAGGTGCGTGGGTGTCTCTGTGTGTGTGTGTGCTCGCCCGATATCCCACGGGTGCAATTGGTTTCAGAGCTGGAAGGCTGGAGATGATTCATGGGGCGGGGGACGTGACCAACAAATCCAGATGCATGTGTACATATATATATATATACATACACGTTACATATGCATTTAAGTCTATATCTATCTATATCTGTACCTACAATATATCTGTATATCTATCTATCTATCAATCTAATCTAATCTAATCTAATCTAATCTAATCTAATCTAATCTAATCTAATCTAATCTAATCTAATCTATCTAATCTAATCTAATCTAATATAATCTAATATAATATAATCTATCTATCTTTCTATCTATCTATCTATCTCTCTCTCTATATATATATATACATATGGATGATATTACTGGCTCTACTGCCAGGCAGCCCCAGCAGTGACATGAGCAAGCCGATCGAGTACATGGACCAGGAGGGAGGGGGAGAATCCCTGGGACTTCTCACCACCCCCTGCCTGAAAAGTCTCATCTTTTGGGAGGCGCTTTTCTCATTCTCATTTTGTAGCTTCTCTTTTTCATTTCTGTTTTGGGGGAATACCCGCCCTTCCCCCCCCCCCCACCCCCCAAATAATCCAGAAAATCCACCAGGTTGATCAAGCCGGACGTTGATTTGAGGACGAACTAGCGCCTTCAGTCCAGGAGGTTGCCACTGCGATCGAAGTTTGGGCTGGTTGACTCCAGAAAGCCCCGGGCAGAGGTGCAAAGGGGTGGACATGGGAGTTCGCTCATTATCGCCCGAGTCGGAAACGGAGCCCCGGAATTCGGACAAACCGGAGCTGATTTGCCTCCGCGCCTGGCAAATTATTTCAGCGATGCTCTTTGGAGTCGTGGGTATGCCCTAGTCGAGAACCTTCTTGTCCGAGACTGCTGCAGAGCTCGCCCCAAAACACATTGAAGGCGCAGAGGGTTTCACCGAAAATTGGCCCGAAGACACGAAGACACGAAAACACGCATCTTCAGGGCGTCAGGCGACGATACGAAGACACGAAGACACGCGTCTTCAGGGCTTCAGGCCTTCAGGGAGTCAGCTTCACAAGAGCTTAGGCGAAGACACAAAGACACGAAGACGCGAAGGTTGGCTCACTACCACTACCACTCCCACTATCACTACTACTGCCACGACTACTACAACCACTACCACAACCACTACCGCTACCGCTACGACTACCACTACCACTACCACTGCTACTACAACTACGACTACCAGGTACTATTTCTACTACTACTACTACTACTACTGCTGCTGCTACTACTGCTACTACTGCTACTGTTGTCCCACTTGACGGGAGTAGCGTTTTACATTGACGCGTGCAAGCGTCAGGAGTTAGCTGGCCTGTTTGGCCTAGTGTAGCTGCCCGCACACAGAACAACACTTAACACCTAGGTTTTATTGGTCGCGCTTGGCGAACCCTTTTTATATGTTTTGGAGTTCCAGTTTGGGCCACCAAGTCCCCTAACGTACGCCCTGCCCGCCGTATGGGCATACACCACCACCCCGCCCCCTCGCCAAAATACAAAGAAGAAGGCCCGGAGGGCTTCAGGGCTTCAAGGCTTCAGAGGCTGCTTCAGGGTCAGGGAAGACGCGAAGACACGAAGACACGCAGCTTCAGGGCTTCAGGGCTTCAGGGAGTCAGCAGAGCTTCGGCGAAGACACGAACACGTGGACGCATCTTCAGGGCTTCAGGGCTTCAGGGAGGCCGTGCCATGATATGTCCCTGCTGCTCTATAACAAGGCTCAAGTCGTGAATGATACGTTCTTGGCCGTTGATGAGAAAGTTGGTTGCGCGGTCAACTCGAACTCGCACATAGCCCGGCACGATTTGCGGCGCCGACGCATCAGCAGGGCTTGGGCGAAGACACGAAGATGCGAAGACACGAAGACACACATCTTCACGTCTTCAAGGCGTCAGGCTAAAAACGTAACCCGCTGCGCCTGCTCTGCCAAAGCAGGCTCCCGCCAGTGGATTTATCTTGGGCTAGTCAAACAATGCCCTTGCATTCTTCGAGGCCATCCTACAAAAATAGCAGGTTTCCTTCCTTAAAAGGGCAATGGCTGCCTTCTGCCCGATGCTATTCAAAAGGGGCTGGCCCAATGTCTGGACACGACCCAAGGCTGACTGGCGTGGTCAGTCAATCCGAAAAAGTCGTGACCCTTTGGGAACTTGGTGGTATTTAGGCGAAAGGGGCCCAACATCAGGCAGCACTTGTTTTAGGGGAACCGCCCTATTTTTCCTGAAGGCATCGCGCAGGGTTCTTCGGGAAAAGCCGCCTGCCAACTCGCATGGCGCACCTATAGGGGCACACTTGCATGAGCAAAGTCGCATGGGCACAGTTGCACGAGCACACTTGTACAACCCACAAGCGCGCGTGCTTGCACCAGCGCACTTGCACGAGCGCACTTATACCAGCACACCTGCGGCGCGAGCGCACTTGCGCGAGAAAACTTGCAGGATTGGCGTGGTCGATGGCCAACTTTTCTACCTTGTTGAGCTGCCCGCGCCACCATCTGGGGATTAACGTGGTCTATGTCCAAAAACTCAGGACTCAGGACTTCCTGTGCGAGCCTCTGCGGAGATCGGCATGGTCAATGTGCCAAAACTGAAGTGTTTTGAAACGCTCGGTAGTTATGTGGAGAATGACTCTTTGCATTGCGAACATTGCGCGCGAAAAAATGCGCAGAGCAACTTGTAGAGAGGTAGTTGCGCAGAGAGCTTGTGCAGAGAAACTGCACAGAGCGCGCTTGGGCAGAGAAACGCGCTGAGAGCTCACCCAAAGAACTTGTTTTGATAACTTGCCAGAGAAACTTGGTGAGAGAACTTGCATAGAAACCCCTGCGCAGAGAGAACTCACGCAGAAAACGCAGAGACCATGCTTCGCTCACTTTTTGTTATGCTTTCGGGCCGCCCGTGCTTGTATTTTTGTTTGCACCCTTCAAAGGCCCCCTTACATTTTGCATGAGCCATGGTCAAAAGTGCTGCTCCAGGAGTTGCTAGTGGCTTCTACTTGTGTTGGGGCTTGACAAGTGCACGAATTCCCTACAGAACCGTTGCACAGCTTTTACCACCCTGAACATGGAATTGGGGGAAATCGACCCTGGAATTCCACCCTGGAGTTCCGGATGATATTCACATTTGAGACCCCCTTCAGGATGCTTGACAGAAACGAAAGGGAATCACCGATTTTGAGAAGCTGATTACTTTTACGATCACATTTTTTTGCCGATTTGGCCTTTTCGCAGATTTAGGAGATGCTTCGCCTCCGGACGAAGCTGAAGCCCAAGCAAACCCTGCCGGCCGCCCCAGTAGCCGGATTGAACAAAAGGGGCGTGCACTTTTATTGGCAAACTGTTGGCTTGCTGGCTGGCTTGCTTGTTTGTTGTTCTGTTCTGTTCTCTTCTGATTTGTGTTTGTTAGCTTGTTTGTTTTGCTTGCTAGTTTCCTTTCCTCCGCTTGCCCGTTTTCTTGTTGCTCCCCAGATAGAGCCCAACACATCTTTTTTTAATAAAACAAATCCAAAGCCAAGAGAAAACCCTTCCCCCAACAAGAGAAGGCAGAATCTGCCCCCCACTTTGCCGTTTCAAGCCATCGGGCCCGGCTCCCCAAGAGCCTCCCGCGCGCTGCGCTCCCAGGCGCGGCTACCTCGAGGAGCTGCGCTCCGAGGACCCGAGGCCCGGGAGGGGTCGGCTTGGAGCGGCTTCTCCATGCTCCCCGTTTTGTTCCAGGCCCAGGAGTCCCTTTTTATTTCCCAAAAGGGTTCCAGGAAAATTTTGGAAGCTGGAGAGGTTTTGTTGGGTCATCCAAATTTGGTCCCTCGCCATGAAAAGAGTGGCCACCCAATGTGGATGAGAATCCTGAAACACTGGATTCACTTGTCGTTTGGAAAGGTCCTAAGGGCTTCCTTCTCCTGGGTTCGGGACTCCACTTAGGCCCACGGCACAAATTCGCCAGGTGCATCTTCATCGTGAGGCGCATCAATAAGCTCGGGTTCCGCTCGAAGAGCATGCTGGAGAGCGGCTTGGAGGAAATCGGTCAAGGGCGGGTCCCGGACCCTCATACAATCCGAGCCCCGACCCCACATATGTGCAGACACACACACACACACACACACACACACACACACACACACACACACACACACACACACACACACACACACACACACACACACACACTTAAGTCCCACACCTGATTTCCGCATGTCTCAAGCAAACCATGCGCCCAGTTTCGCATCGCCCCCACAAGTTGCGATCTCTTTTGCTTCCGCTGAGGCCACTACGCACGCTATGGCAAGGTTCTACAAGTGTGCGTGGCTCACTCGAAGGCGGAGCAGGGTCCTTCCTCCAAACTAGTCCGGGTAACTGAAGGTTGGGGTCCAACCATTGATGCGGATATCCCTCCTCTTGATTCTTTACTCGCGCGCCTTGAGTGTTGAAGCGAGGTTGTCATGACTCGCGTGTGTTTTTTCTTCGGCCAGCCAGAAGTTCAAAGATTATCATTGACAAGAGCCAGACTCCCAGACATATGATACTCAACCCAACGACGATGGTTTTCTTCTGAAACGGACAGTTTCCATTTGAGCCACAATCAAAACCCAGGTAGATGAAGGTCAGAAGGGACACTCCCAACCGCAAATCTGTGCGGCCGCCTTACTCTTTACATGGTGTTGGGTAAACCATTTTTGTACCGATCGGTTTTGATTGTGACTCGTCCTGTAGAAGCGGGCATGGTTTTTATGAGCAGGCTTCGTGGCTTCTTCCAAAAAAGGTGGGCTTGCGTCCATTTCGGCTAAATTGGTTGTGCAACCATCGCGCCCATTTCGGCGAGTGGCTGCTACGGAAACTTGTCATGTTTGTTTTCCTGGGGACGCCCAAGATTAAAGAACAAGATAAGCCCGGATAATGGCACAATGACTTGGAGTGTGGGCTTGGGGTTTCTTAAGAACTAAGCTCAGAGGGCTTTTTTAGGCCCCAGAAAATCGCACCAAGTCAATTTCGATGGATGATTTCCGCTGTGTGGTGCGCTGTTCTCTGGCCGGTATTGTCACGAGGCTCGCACCTTGGCAAGGCAAGGCAGGCAGTTGCCCGAACCGAACAGGACGCAGAGGTTTGATGGGAACAGGCGCTAACTATGTGGCCACTACAATATATATATATATATATATATATATGCACACACACACACGCTTCGGTTTCGCTGTAGACAGTGGTTTGGGGCGGGGGTGACCATCTTGAGACAAGCACAACCTGCAAAGCTAGCGCAGGATAGCTTGGTCTTGTGTTCTATTGGTGGAGCAACAGAGGAGTGAACCTGGTTGGCTTAGAGGATTGAGATGTCTTTTTGAGCGGAGTTGAGCCGTTCATAAGCGGACCCTGTCGCGAGACATGCGCTGGTATGTTGTGAGGAGGCATGCGCAGCAGTCCGGTCTGACAAGCACACTTTTTTCCCAGCCTCTCATGTCATCTCATGTTGTTCACGCTCAATGCATCTCAATACCAATCTGGCGAGACAAGCAACAGAGGTGTGCTCCCCTATTCATCACGCTGCGCCATCATCAATCTTTTCCCCAAGCCACAAATGGGGGCTTTGGAAATAGCCCTTTCTCAAGAAAATCCCCTTTTGGATGGTTCGCGAAGGGAGCTGGAAGGCGAATATATTCTATTTTTAAAACACAACCCCTCCATTTTCTTCTCCGAGTGTAAAGGGTTCCCTAAGTTCGAAGGTCTCCCGGTCTCCTCGCAAGCTTCCGAAGAGGTGAAGCCGTTGCCCAATTCCGGGCAAACCGCCCGCACCCGACCAGGCGCATGGGAGGGAGCGGGGCCCAGGGCATAGATGGCTGGCGCGTCTTTTTGCAGGGTCGGACCCCTTCCCAACACAAAAAAAGAGGGGCAACCGTTTTCTTTGGTTTTTCATTCAAGACCAGCAGAAAAGTGGCAAAGACGGGAAATCATGGCTTCCCGAGAGGATGTAATTTTCAGATGTGAATAGTTCAGATTCGTTTAAAGGGCTCTAATAAAGGGGTTTCAGCCGGCACGGGGCGATCATGGGTGATCCTAGAACCCATTTCTTGGAACCCATTCAAGATTTAGGGCGAATGTGATTCACAAGCCCTGGTCGATGACTCACTGCTAAGAAACCTCTGGCCCATTTGCAGGGTGTTGTCGTTTGAGGAAGCCGCATCACTTGTTGGGGGTACAAGAACTCCATTCAGCTGCCAGGTTGAGCGCAAACTACGCGCGCAGCTGGCAACAAAGCTCATGGCCTGAGAGGAACCTATCTCAAGACAAGCTTCTGCAACTTTCTTTCCGTGGAATTGGGAGTAGTGACGAGTAACTCTTCCTTTCGTATGAGATTAGTTCAGCATATCCGTGCTTCGAAATGAGGGTGCGTGAAAGCCTGCCAGTTTGGCGTGCCCTGGCCCGAGGCTCCTAACCACAAGGACTGTAATCAGAATCCCCCCAAAATTGCCCTTGCTGCGAGAAAACAGGACATGTCCCACGGCAAGCACGGATCAACACCGCTGAAGCTTCGGCATACATCAACCAACTCTTTCATTCGATCGAACAATTTGCTGGATCCCAGCCAGTACGGGTTAGTCCCCACCCAAACCTTCTGCGGGTGGCCGTTGCCATCTCCGACGTTTTGGGTATCGGCGATCCTCTGCTCACAGGCAACTTCGGGCTCGTGGTGATGCAAGACCCCGCGTCGGTGCAAAAGGCAGCGGAGAGGGCGGGCAAAGCGGGTTTTGGCAAGATTTGCCGCTTGGATCTTTGGTCTGGTGTGGGTGGCTTGGTGCTTGGGGCTGGGCCCGGAAGTGGGTGGTTTTACTAGAACCAGAGTCTCGAAGACGGGCTCAGTTTTGGAGGCAATCTTGAAGTTTGATGGCCCGGTCAAGCAGCATGCAGTCAACTCGGGAGGGGCATATGCCCTATCCTCTGCTTGGCAGGCGCAAACAAGGCGTTGCAGTGCATTTTGGGTGAGCCCTGTTCCGATGGAAGCTTGCTTGGCAGTTGACTAGTTCAATTAGTCGTGCTTCTACTATCTGGGTTCATGGGGGTTATTGCAAGGCCTGGATAGGGAGTTGCTCTTGGGGGTACTTCCGCGGTTTTAAACGGAAACCCACAGGACACCAACCACTTACATAAGGGGCTCCCCTATGTTGACACAAACCTCTTTGAACCATTGCAAGACCGCGCCCAAGATCACGCTTTCACCCGTTTGTCGGCCGTTGTCACGAAGCTAGAGACAAGGACTGCCTGCAGACTCGTGGATGTTTAAAAGCACTTTGCCTTGAACATGTCAACCTTTGCTCGTTTTTCATTCGAGCTTTGCAGACCGAATTGCGAAATCACCCGTTAGCAGTTGCTAGCCAAGCACGAACACAGACACATGGCACAAACTGGGTGGGTCGGATGTTCCAGTTGAACTGGAGTGACCCTGGTAGCACGGGTTCTCCCGTTTTGGGGGCTGACCCGTAAACCGGCATTTGTAGAGGGTAAATGGGAAACCACCACCAGAAGACGTCAAAACCACCGGGCGCCAAACCACCGATTGGAGAGAAGCTGATCTCCGGAACAGGACCTACAGCTTTCTTCCGTCAGCAACTTGACCCTGGGAAAGACACATCCCTTGCTACCTCGGCCACAACCCATAGAAAAGAAATAGCAACACAACCTTTTTTTGTCGGGTTGGGCAAGACAAGTTTCAAGAACCAGACCCCAGCCAGTTAAAGGGGAGCCAAACCGCTTCGTGCTGGCAGGTCCTGGACAAGGCCGCTTCCGGAAGTGAGGTCTCGCCTATGTGTGTCTTTGAACATCAACGTTTGAAGTAAAGTTCAACATCACCCGGGCCAGCAACATGGGAGTGCACTTTGGTGGCAATGGAGATCAAAAGGACACCCCCAAGATGGATTCCAATTCCCTTTTTAGGGACATCCCTAAATGAATCCCCGTACCTGCCGTGCTTTTGAGCGGACTTCGGGGGCAATTGTGGCCAGTTCGTGGGTTTTGCACTTGGGCGGGATGTTAGGCTGACATTGGGCCAGGCCCTTTGTTCAAACATGTTTCACTCACCGTTGGGCTCTGTACCTGCAAGTCTTTACAAGAAGGGGCTGTTGCGCCACTGTTTGTGGGGTGCCAACAGGATTCGAAACTGGTACCCTTAACCAACGAGCATGGAAGTGCACAACCCTCTGAAGGACAGTCGTCTTGCAATGGGGGCCGACCGTGCACCGAACCCGGGTTCCCGAAACTCATTTTGTATTTTCGGGTAAACAAGCATCTGCAAATTTATATTCTCAGCCAGAGTTGAGCCAAGCCATTGTAACATGTTGCGCAAAACCAACCCCGGTGTTCCAGCTGCCTTGCTTGCGAATCGCCCACTTGGCCAGCGGATGCGGCAGCCGAAACGAACCAGTTTGGGCGACGAAAATAGGGGGTGAAAACACGACCTACACTCCCTCAGGCTAACATGGAAGCTCGCAGGCCTCTGCAAATGGAACCAGTCTTCCAAAAGGGGTTCTGGGAGCTTTCATGTTGGTCTTGGGGGGTAGGCCCTGGAAAGGATGTTTAGGCAATTCGTTTGGGAGACGAGGCATCTCACAGGGTTGTCCTTTTAGTCTCCCTTTGACCATCCGCCAGGGGATTGGCTTTGGACAGACCCATGGCAAGATCTTCTTTTGAAGACACATCCGCAGTCCATACGGAAGTGGGGCTGTGGCAAATGAAGCTTTCTGCCTCTCACTGGCGTCCTTCTATATTCCTGCGTGTTTGGATGGCTCCAATTTTAGCTGAGTTTCCTTTTGGCGTAAAACGGACAAAGAAGGAATCCTGCCTCATGTCCCAGTCACCAGAAGAGGAATGATGTAGCTCTTTTTTGTGAGCAACTGACAGTATGAGTGAGCGTATATTGACCAAGTGGAGACTCCTGGGCACTATTCTCCGCGCAAAAGTGAGTGGTAATGCCAGTGGCCACGACGGCTATATCTTACTTGAACCCGTTGCTGACTCTTCCTTCACGGTGCCAAGCTTCCGTCTGATATCACGCTGACCGACACAAGTGCTGTTCCAACTAGCCTCCGAATTGCCGCCCGACCTGCCTGGCCTTCTTTTGGGGCAGCGGGCTGGTGTCAAATTTGGGCGAGCCTCCAAGCAGCACTCTGGTCCCTTCGGTTTTCGTTCAATGCTAACTTCAGATTCCTCCAGAGGAACGTACTAGTCAGGACCTTTAGTGAGGAGGTGATTCGTTTTTCAGGGGGTCCCTTTGGCTAATATGGTCGTTGAAATTTCTGAAGTCATCGTTGAAGCCTCAAAGACCCACGGCGCCTGCCACCCGACAGGGCCCAATTCATGCGGTGGATGGTGTGGAGATCTCAGTGTGTGGCGGCCCGGAAAGTGGCAAGTTAGGGCGAACACAGTTTGGGTGTGTCTTTGTTCAGGGAACCCCCTTTTAGGTCGGTTGCAAGGGAACCCAAGAAGAACACAATTTTTGTGGTCCTCTGATAAAAGACACACCCTTTTGATCATTGAAACTGGGGTTTTGGCGACACACAGCCCAAGTGTTGCAAGCTAGACGACCCATGTTGGAATCGTTTTCTTTTTTTTGTTCCTGCAACTTTTGATTGATGCTAAGACCCACTTCGTCTCAAGCTCACTTGTTGCATGTTTAGCTTGCTACGGGCGCCGATGCTTTGTGCTCTGATTGTCCCTAATTGCCGGTTGCCTAAGATAATTTGATGAGCAGCATCTCTGTACCAACCCATATTGCAGCATTGTATTTTCGTTGGTACAGCACACAGTGTTCTCACACGAATTGATGCTGCGAGAATGGGCTGAGGAGCCAGGCATTTCAGAAAACACTTATGGCTCATACCCTGCGTTTCTTTTGGGAAATTGCAACGCATTCTTTTGGTTGGTCGCGGAACCTTGCAGTGCGCGGCTAAGCAACCCTGTCAGGGAGCCCTTCTGAATTGATTTACGCGAATACACGCACAGCCGCCAGACGGTGAAACACACACCCAGGAAACGTCAAAGAGTGACCATTTGCACGCAAGAGAAGGCCACAATGTTGGGAGTGCTTGGAGCAAACCTTCGGCCGATGGACATTTTAAGACACGCTTGATTTTCGGTATGGCAACAAGCCAAGAGCACACTTATCCTAACGAAAGCCAGGATTTTGAGCAATTGCCAAGCCAAACATCAAGAACCAAATGCCAGCATGACCAGAGACCAACGCAGGGATGTGTTTGTTTCGCCTTTGTGATCATGTTGGGGATGTTTTGGAGCAAGTGTTTAACATCGTGTAACCATCCAGGAGCACAGCTCAAAGCTAAAAAGAGGCAAAGTACTGACTCGCTGGATTGACTTCCATGGTGCAGAGGATGCACCACTGCAATTAATTTAGAAAAGGCAAGTTTGTGCTTTCTCCAGGTTTAGAGACGAAATGGCAGAAGGCCTTTTTAGGGCTTTGTTTTTTGAACAGCAAGCTTTCTGAGTGCTACACCTTGAGATTTCGCCTTGAATCATCCCGGGGTTTATATCCAGAGACCTTGTCGATTGACCCATTTCGGGTCGTTTTGTCGGCGAGTCGTAAACGAAAACCCAAACCTCCAAGCCAACCCAACCATCGGAAGATGAGAAGCTTTTTGGCCAACTTTGGCCAACTTTAGTCTTCTTCAAACAGCCAGTTTGGCTGCCTTTTTGTGACCAATCCACAAAAAGGGCTCGCAGAACGGGAACTCCTCGATTTCGTTCTCCGAAAATCCGAGCGAGGCAAAAGTACCAGCCGAACCGCTTGGAGGAGGCCAGCTGACAGGACCCCCCAAAATGGGTGGTTGGGCTGGTGGTTTCCTTTAAAACCAAAAAGGGGGTTGCTCCAAAACAGTGGGCTCTTTGAACACTTTTACTACAGGCCATGACCTGGAAATTTTCGCAAAGGTAGCGCTAGCCCGGATTTCTGGGCCCACGTTCTGCGAGCGGCGGAGGTTGGATTTTCACGCTCAGCAGCGTGGGGCATACGACCCAAGGGGTTTCATAGGGTCCGCTTTGCCTTTTTCCCCTTGCAGTGGTGTCCCTTGAACATTGAGCAAGAGGGTATCCATTGAATTTCGGAGGAGATCCAACCCATTAGAGCACATTTTGCAGACAATGCCAACCATCTGAGGGATTGTAGTTTCTTCTTGATACATGGCTTGTGAAAGCTCTCTCACGGTTTCCAGGTGTGATATCGGTTTCCCTTCTATCAAGAAACCCTTCCGATTGCCAGACGGTTCTTCTCCTTTTGCCCATTTTGGGTCTCTTTCATTTTCCATCGAAACCAGGAAGGCTTCCGGCCAAGCTCCTAGTTTCTGCACGACAAGTCTCGGTTGTCGGCCGGATTTGCTTGCGACATTTGAAACATCGGGTTGAGTTTGTTGCTGAAATGATAGGGGAAACAGATAAGTTGTAGGTTTAGGGCTGACACGTTTACCCTATGGTTAGTGCTTTCACTTGGCTCGAAATGTCAGGTGAGCCTTGGAGAAGAAGAACAGCTCAACGAAGGCAGGGATCCCAGCTGGGCGGGGTTTCCAAACAGGCTGGGATGGAATCCAGATTCCTTATTTCCCAATGTTGAGGTTGGAACCATATAATTTGAAACTAGACCACGGTTGGCCCGAAAGCATCTCAGCCCTGTGATCATTCCCGCGCAAGGTTTTTGCTCGATGTGGTCACGAGCAATACACAACGACAAGTCCCAGCAACTAACCTTGTTCCTGCTATCTTGCCACCTATCGGATCCCCCCTCACACGAGTTTGCCAAGCACGTCAAAGATGACACATATACCGCCCTCATGCAAAACAGTGACTACAGCGCAAGTGACTCTCATGATGACTCTGTGCAATTGACTCTCATGATGACTGTGTGCAATGACTCTCATGATTATTCTGTGCAATGCCTCTCATGATGACTCTGTGCAATGACTCTCGTGATGACTCCGTTCAATGACTCTTGTGTGATGACTCGATGCAATGGCTGTCATGATGACTCTGTGCAATGACTCTCATGATAACAATTCTCCCAACAGAACAACCTGACTTGGGCTCTGCCCAAGTTGCCCTGTGCTAGCTGCTCTGTGCAAGTGCTCTGTGGAAGTTTCTTTGCGCAGTTGCTCTGCGTAAGCGCTCTGTGCAAGTTGCTCTGCGCAAGTGCTGCCGGAGCTTTCGGGAAGTACTTCGCACACTAGTTTTCTACTTGAAAATTCATCATGCAGCCGGAGCTGCAGGACTGTCTCCGCGTAATACATTTGTACTAAAAGTTGCGATTTGCCAGCCGGAGCTGCGTCGTTTGCACTTAAAAGCTGCGATTTCTGTCTAGAAAAGCTGCCGCAGACCAGGCGGGGATCCAACCGAGGGTTCATCGGGCACTTTGCAAATTCGCACGGCGCCGCAGCGACGGCGCTTCGACCACGCCGATCTCCGCAAGGGTTGCTCGGGCATGCTAAAAATCGTAAAAGTCCTCAGTTTTTTAACATCGGCCACGCCGATCTCTGCAGAGGGTCGCGCGCACAGATTGAACATCGCAAAAAATCCGCAGTTTTTTAACATCGACCGCTCCGCAGAAATCGTAAAATGTCCTCAGTTTTACAACATCGACCACACGGATCTCCGCAGAGGGTCACACGCGCACCGCAGAAATCGTAAAACGTTCTCAGTTCTTTAACATCGACCACGCCGATCCCCGCAGAGGGTCGCGCGCGTACAGATCAGAAATCGCAAAAAGTCCACAGTTTTTTAACGTCGACCATGCCGATCCCCGCAGAGGGTTGGTTTTTGTAGAGCACTGTCGGCCCTACCCCGCCGCCCTAAGAAGAGAAGAAAGGAATTTAAAACTCCTCTCTTGAGAACTCTCATGAGCATGGCTCCTCGCCAGTGGCTCTCACGAGCATTGCTCCTCGCCAGTGGCTCTCACGAGCATTGCGCCTCGCAAGTGACTCTCTGTGCAATGACTCTGTGCAATGACTCTGTGCTATGTCTCCGTGCAATGACTGTCATGATGATGATGACTCTGTGCAGTGACTCTGATGATGATAACTCTTTGCAATGACTCTCATGATGATAACTCCCATGAACCCAACGGAAGAACCCTTCGCCATGCTTTCGGGCACTCAGGTTTTGTTTTCGTCAAACCCAATGTTGGTTTTAGCAAACCCGATTTCTGTACACCTTCAGACCAATTTCCTTCTATATGCGCGGGTGATGATGGACTTGAGTGGGCCAAGGTCGTTTTGACAACAGTCTGCACAACGAGCTTCTGCATGACGACGACTCCTCACATGAGGATTCGCCTCATTCAGGTTCAAGTTGGTCAACTAAAATAAATTGCTTGTTGTTTGAGAAGAAGACCTTAATGGATATCGCCATCCACATAGAGATATCCCATTATATATGCAGATTCAGCCTGGTGGATATTCTTTTCACCCTCATCTTCAAAGGTTTTTCACCTAGACCTAGCTTTTTTTGGGTTGGAGAAGAGTTGCTGTGTACCGCCATGGATTTGTTTCCCTTGAGAGCCACGACCAGGATTTTCCTTGTCCACTTTGTGGGCCACCCAATGCAGGCTGTTGTCCAAAAGGCAACTTCACCTTGAACTTTGTTCACTTCCATGAGAAGAGAACAAACCCTCGTGATTCCCAAACTGCACAGACCTTCACCCTGCCCATTCGTCCTTCCATTTTCCCCCACCAAAACTTCTGTTGGTATGGCCTACCATACAAACCATGGTATACATGCTTTGTATGATCTGCATCTGATCCCTGGTGGATCCTCCCGAAAAAGTGATATCACTTTTGGGTCGAGATCCCCAACCCTCCCACGCCTTCGAGGCCCGAAGACCGAGTCGAAGCGGAAGGTGCGGCACAAGGCTGGCTGGACCCGGGCCCCTCAGGCGATCAACCTACGTGTTGTTTTTTCATCAGAAAAGGGCCAGATTGTCAGGTTGGAGGGTCGCCCAGGTGCACACCTCGCAGATAAGCTTGGGGCAGTATTGGCACAAAGAATGGCTCGTGCAGCGGCGAGTGACACACGGCACGAACCCAGGGCGTACCACCTTTTACACCACTTCCCTTCTTGGGAACATGCAGAGACTCCGTCAAAGTGTTGGACACTGTGTTGGAGGGGTTCCGCTTAAGGGGGTCAACAGGCAAACACAGATCCCACGTCAGGAGGACAAGGGTTATTGCCGGTGAACATGTTGTTCACATCGGCGGTTTGTGGATCAGGTGGTGCAGATGTGTCCTCGATAGGGGCCCCACGTTTTGCCCCCAAATTCGGTCTCCTCGAAGTGTTTCCAGAAACCAGAAGCCGGCCACCTTCAAAGCAAGCAGTGAACCCATTGACTCTACCAAGGTGGGTATTTTGATGGATCCTTCGGACTAAGTTGAGAGCCAAATGGCTGAGGGTTTTCCGAACGAGAGCCAAAGGACCTGTGTTGAAGCTTCCATGAGCTCCTGGTAGCTCTTTCAACGCACATTTGGATGCAAGCTCCATACCAGCTCCCGTACCATCGGCTTGTCTGGTTGGCCATAAACTACCATCCTTCCGAAAATCCACCGACTTGTGGGGCCCCACTGAAACTCGGCTAACACCATGTTTGGGGGGTGTCCTGAAAAGGTGATATTTTACTCCACCGAAAAAGGGACACAACACGGGAGCTCTGTCTCCGTTGTCAAAGGACTGGCCCAACTAGACGCCGGATTCGGCCGTACTTGCCAGGATCTCGCCAACCGGCAAGCGCAAGCCGCGGCCCCAGACAGAAGAGGTTCATTGGATCGCGGTTTGAGAAGCGCAGGGCATTTCAACCCTTGGTGCGGCTAAGAAAGGGTTTGATTGAACCGTCCCCACGAAGAATCAACAAATCTTGAAATATCAGAAGCAAGAAGAACAGACAGCCCGAACAGTGCCAGCCGCAACCTTTGCAGGGGTTGCCATTTGAGTCATCTGCGTGGCTAAGTTGGGCATGAACCGGCCAGATTTTATGGTCTTTGGGAACCCCAATTCACTCCCTCCAGGACTAAATGAGCTTCATGCTTCCATCGGAAGGAGCACGGGTTTTTGGAGGGACTCCAAGCTGGTTCCAGTCCACAGTCCAAAAAAACTGGGGCCGAAGTCTCCAATGAACCCGGTTCCCGGGGTTGTGAGAACCTATTCCGTCTTGGACGCTGGTGCCGCCCAAGGTGCCACCTTTTGTTTTTGAGGGAGTACCAACCACCCCTCCCCCCGTTGCATATCGTATGATATCCTTTGATCTTTTTAAGCTGGGCAAACTAGAACCAGCGAGGGATGAAGTCCCGAACTGGGAGATTCGCAGATTCCTCATTCGGGTATGGGTCCAATTGAAACCACCAGACATGTTTTAGTCCTTTCTGTGTACCAGGGCAACTCATTTGTGGGTTACCCTAGTTTTGACCCACAGCCATTTACTTCAGGTTCGTGACTTCTCTGTTCTTTTTGTTTTTGAATGGCCTCTGGATTTCTGAATCTGCAAACTTGTTATGCTTGGGAAAGACCGCCTGTTGTTTCGCTTGGTACTGGCATGGATGAAGGCCACAGAGGATCTGCGTCAGGCTTCGATCAATCAAGTTCCTTTTGTGGAACCCAGATGCATTTTTGGACCCTTGGTTGGGTCCACTCAATGGACACCTTGATTGAAGAATGGTGTTTGTGCGTGTTCTCACTTTTGAGGGGATTCAGATCACTTTTGGGGGAACATATGCCTAACAATTCACCAGGTTGAGTAGAATGGCACATCCCTTGTCCCCGCAGTTTGGTTTCATCATCCCTTACCGACAAGGGGATTCGTACCATCTACCAACCGCCGGCATCTGGACCATTTGGTAAGATATTTTTCCTCCTTTCATTCTCATCTAGACAGGTCGCTGACTGATCAAAGTGTCAATGCACAGCGAAGCAAGGGGTGTGTATGTACGGTCAAAGCTTCAGCAAGAACCTAAGGGAGCACATCTCAACAACAGCAACCCAACTTGATGAGCAATGGTTACAAACCAAACAAACTCAGTGTTTTGTTGGTTTTCTGCACCCCTTTCAGAAGGAAAGCAACAAGAACACACGCTTTTTGCTTTTTGGCAGGGACAATTGCAAAAACAAGAACATCATTGAGGGAACGCCATCAAAAAACAAACATTGAGAAAACAAACAAGCACAATCTCTGTGGGAGAATCTTTGGCCTCAGCCCCAAACTTTGTTATTTTTTGGTTTTCTGGAGTCATTTTTTGTTTTTTTAAACATATTATCCCTCACAACAACCACACAACTCGGTTTTTTGGCCTGGCCTTCTAACAAACAAACAAAAAATCAAACAGAGTATGTTTCGTTTTGTGAAGGACTGAGGGAGACCCTAAAAAGCCACAATGCCAGCAGTCTGGCATTAAACATGTGTACTGACTTCAAAAAGCCAAAGTTGGATCATGGCTGTGGTGCTGACCATTATTTTATCTACCGATTTGTTTGTTTGTTTGCTTGCTTGTTTATTTGTATACATATATATATATATAATACATATATATATATATATATACACATATTTCTGCTTAGGTTGGTCCGCACACCCCCCCCCCCCCCCTCCCCCGCTCCACAATGAGCTCCGCAATGCCCTTTCGCTTGCCGAGGAGGAGACCAGCGGCTCCACTCAGACGGGAAGCTCTGAGGGCAGCAACCGATCCATCAACGGGGGAGACGTGGTGGACGACTGGAACCGTCAGGAGTCTGGGAGCTCCAATGGCCGGAGCCCCTGATCCGAGATGGTTGCTGGTGGTCCTGAGGCACCCTAAGCCTGGGGAAGCCTCAGGAGTCCTCTGGGCAGTTTTCCTGAGGAAGCCTAGGGAAGCCTCAGGAGAATGCTGGGCAAACCGGAGCTTAGGGAGACACCAGGTCCAGGATGAAGTCGGTTTACTTGGGGATTCCTTATCTGGGTGCGTACATGTACCAAGGCAACCGACTTCGGTCACCGGCCGGAGTCTGGACAGTCGTTGGAACCAAACGGTTTGGATCTTTGGAGAAATCCCTTTTACGTAGCTAGCTTTTCGAGATCCTGGCCCCCTTGTGGCCATGAATCTCGATGGGGGATACCCTCAAAATTTGGCCGGTGGACAAGAATCCACGAAATAAGATGTCAACACAAGATCCCAATGAGCATTCAAACCACTGACGCATCAACCACGGTCTTTCGGCAAATAACCGGGCCAATTTTGAGCCTCTTTCCGAGTTGCAGGAGTTTTTCATGATTGGCACGTCTCCTGACCAACAGCATGTGTTCAGTTGTTTTTCTTCACTGGGTCCAAAAAAAGTATGTCTGTACACATATTTAGATTCATGTAAATGCATATACACATTGTGTGCACATTGTGTATACGCGCACATGTACTACATACACATGATAAATGTCTATGGGCCCTAGGCCTTGTGCCCTAGGCCTGGCTCCGAGTAGGCTTTGCGGCTTGCGAGTTGACTCGTGCTACGTGATGTAGATCTCGTGCTACGTGATGTAGATTGTACCGTCTATGAGCCAAGAAGCTCACAGCAGCAGCCGGCCGAAGCCGAGCTTCGGCTTTTGATCCACTGCTCCGTACCAAATAAAGAAACCGAAAGGGTGGAAGTGTTGGTCTAGCTCCCACAGTTTCCTTAGTCAGGTACCCGTATTTTCTAGCCTTGGCGCTTAGCAACCCTTCCAAACCTGTGAAAGAACCCCCCTATCACATGGGGCACAGCGACATCGACGCATTGGTCAAGCTTTGTACAGGACGAAGGGAGGCACCCATGGCCACGGCCACGGTGGGGACGGTGGAGCCTTGTGATTCGCTTTAGATTGTAAGGACAGTCACGCGCGAAATTCCCTTGACAGATGGCATCCTCTAGATTTAGCAGCTGCTTTAGCTGACAGCTTCTTATTTATGTTTGGTTTCTTTGGAGTGAACAAGATAATGGTGCTGGATGTTCTACACTTGTCAAGTTTCAGAGAGCCAGAAGGGATGGGCGGTTTTTGAGCATAGGCCGCGTATGTGTTCGTTCGGTCTTGGGGGGCACCTTTCCAATCGCCCAGTCTCGTCGCTGGCTGCATCCTACGGATCTGCTAGCTCGGCGCAGGCCGGCTGGAAGCAAAGCCTTCTCAAAGATGTGGTTTGCATCTCTTTTTATATCCCCACTGGGTGATTTCCCCATCAATTCCTGGGCTTTGCCAAAATCACGTTACCAGTCAAGTTGGCTCTGGATGTAAGGAGGGATGTGGAGAAGCTCTTGAAACCCACGATCTCTTTGGAGAGTGGGCTTATCATTTTGTGGTGGGGACAAGGGCCGACTTTAGCAACACAAGTCAGGGGAACGGAAGCTTTACTTTCCCATTCCCGCGTGCGACCCAAAGTCCGAGTCACTTTGAGCGTGAAATTGGTGCTTTGTGGTAGCCCCTTGTGGAGATGTTTCATTTTGCAATCAGGAAGCGCCCATTGCACATTGCCAACATGGTCCAGAAGAACACTGGAGGTAAAGAGATGCACAGGAACCAGGTGACATGGCACGGCTGGCCCGCCAGGGTTTGGTCAGAAGTGACATGCCCAACTTGCAGGAACCTCAGTTTACAATTTCGCAGACCTACAAAGAAAATTCACTTGCCCACTGAGGGATCTGCACATTTTGGTTGGGTATTACTGTCAGAAAGGAATAGTCGGCTAAAGGCTGGTCTTTTGGCGGTGATGGACATGGAAAACTCTCTAAATATATTTCTACCTTGCTCGTGCACACCCAATGTCCAGAGAGGGTGTAGCATGTCTTTGACCTTTGATATTGTTTTGGGTTTTTGTTTGGCATCGATATTGTGAAGGGTAGTCTGGGAGTAAGGGCTTTAGATCTGGCCCCAAATGGCCTTGTGTCTTTTGCGGAGCATGTCGACGGCTTCCCCCCGAACTCGCAAAGCAGCTTCCCGCTTTGTGCAGGGAGTTTCACCAACCCGGTTCAGGGGGCGCTATGTCTTCCCAGCGTAGTGTGAGTGTGTGATCATCTCAATCTCTGATTCATTCCAATGCTGGTTTCCTTTTGTTGCATGAAAGGGGGGGGGCCAACCCCCAGGACCGCTCGCGCTTCTCAAATCCGCAGGCCGAGAGTCTCGCGAAGATGCGGGCCGGGTGTTGGCCTCAGAGGTTCTGGTGGCCCTGAATATGGGTGTGGCTCAAAATGAAACGATCGGAGGGGCAAACCGCAGGTTTTGGTCCATGTTTCCACTCCATTTTGGTACCGGTTTTTTGAGCCACTGGCATATTGCAAGTGAGCCCACAAACTGTGGGAATCCACAGGATTTCCCCTGTTCCCTACTTGCAATATTGACAGCGTCCACCGTATCAACGTCCGTCAGAAACCTGGGTCCTGATTCCTAAACGTACAAATTAGGCGGGAGGGCAGGCCGGTGTGCGCGCGGGCGGGTGGGCAGTCGGGTGGGCAGGAATAGAAGGTTTCCCATTGTTAGCGAACTTCTATTTGTGGGAGGATTTGTAAGTAAACGCTAACTAGCACCATGTTGGTCGCGTTTTCTTTTGGGTTTCCCTTGTGACGTCCGAAAGCGAGGTGTGGGCCAGACGTTTTGGTCCCTCGACATGGATGGGCTTTGGCTTCCATTTGGCTTCCCGCACAGACGGTCTCCACCAAATACGCACCCACATTTGGGCGTGGCTCAAACATAGCGCTCACCGGCTCAGAACATCTGCAGGTTGACTAACCCTGGCAAAAGGAGAAGCAGACTAAGACCTGTCTCCGACAAAGACCTGCGGTCCCCTGCCTCTTAAATTCTGAACCAAATCTTTGTGGCCGGGTGAGTTGCGACAGAGTCAAAAAGATTCCAGTCACCATCTACTGAAATGTCAACCCCCATATGTTAGAAGCCTGCTGGGTGCATAGCAGGGAGTTGGGCCAAAAGTGCAGGACCCAAAGGTGAAGGACCCCTCCCAAGAAAGGTTGATGCGGGGGACCATGGCGCGGGTTGACTGCGCTGCTCCCTATGAGCCAAGGTTTATCCTGGCTACCACTTGTAGAGAATAACAAGGGGCGCATCCCGCCACAGTACCAGAAGAAATTGGGGTGACTCACGGGTTCTTTGCGCTGGCTTTTCTTGTGCTTGGAAAGGTCGCAAAACTCAGGGGACAATTTCATTGAGAGAATCAACCTTAGTGCTCTGTTGAAATCATGGCATTTTCTTCTAAGGTTCCTTGGAGAAGTAAACCTCAACCAGTCATCTAATATATGGACGGTTTTGGCTGCACTACCCCCCCTCCAATCTTTCTGTTAGCAAACTAGGCTCCAACAGCTTTCAGACAATTGCGCGGCTTCTCCTAAACACTGTGTCAAATCAAGCTGGCACAACAAAACGTAAGGGAAAGGCACCAGTTCAACCCAACGAGTTCCGCTGAAATCAACTGCGCGGTTTGAACCCAGCCAGTCACAAAGCAACGGAAACTTCGGGGAACGCTCACTTGGCCTCATAGGTCAGTCCATGATTCGTTTGGGGGGACTCACAACTAACAGGGGACCTAATTTCCCATGCCCTGTTGAAACACCGTGGCTCATCGAAAGGCAAGAAATCGGTTGAATCCTGGGTTGCAGAGGGAATACCTAAGAGCCAACATAGGGATTCCCGGTCTGGAAGCTAGCCAAGTGGTGGGTAATTGTTAAAACTCTGCTAACCAGGGCTACGAAGCTTCAGCCAACCCGACGTAGCTTGCGTCACTGGGGTTCCCGAGGATGGTGCAGTCAGAGCAGCCGGAGCCTTCCAACGAGTGGCGTGCGCCAATGTGGGAGGCGTGGTCCGTGCGGGACGCGGGTATGGCGCGTGTGAGGAGCGGGCAGGGCACTTTCGCAGATTCTTTGCGGCAAAGCGTTTCGGATGGAGAAGTTGGTGACATATGCGATGGTCAAAACACATTCTTACTTGGAGTTTGTTGTAGGGAAGACCATGAGCTTGTCAATTGGGATTTAAGACAACTGTGTTGCGGGTTTCTGTTGAAGGAGCCAGAAGGCGTTTTTACCATGGCGCTGTGAGATGGCTGAGAGCTTTTGCGAGTTTCTTATTGTTTTCAATAGCAAAGCGGAAGGCTTTTCTCAGGAATCTTCGCATACTTTGTCCACTTCTCGGCAGGCTTGAAAGTGACAACATGGCGGCCATCCGTTTTTCCCGAGTACACAAGTAGCATGGCAATTCCACCGCCCTGAGCAGGCCTTGTGGTGGATGAATAGGGGGTGTCTTCTTTTAGCGGAAATGGAGGGAACCACCCCCCGCCTATTTATTGGCAGGATAGGTTCCAATATCATGTTCCTCTTAGAGGCTCCTGGCAAAAACAAATGATGGAGAACGTGCTAGAAGAATGGATTGCACCTCTGTTTTTTCCCTCCCATCAAACAATGAAGTTTTGCCCGGGCCATGGAACAAGGTGCCCTCCCAAAAACCTTGAGAATAACAAGGACGCCTTTCTCAGGGGTTTTGCAGCGACCCGTTTCCACTAGCGGCCGAAGGGGAATCCTCTCTAACATAGCAAAGTAGTGGCTGGGAGCTCGGAAAATATCAGAGAAAGGTTGGTGTTTGGTTGCACTTTGACTTAACAAATCTACGGGGTTTTTGGACGTTTTGTTTTTGTGTACAGATGCGGTTCGGTCGGCCGGCTTTCCTCGGGGCCTGCTGATGGAAGCTGACATTCATGGGTTTCGGACCATGTCTGCGAGAGAAAGTCATCCCAAAAAGGGGGAGTGCAACACAACACCAAAGCTGCTATCATCTTGACACGTCGACTCCTGCTGTCCCAAAAGGGGGCAGGGGAGTGTAAACCCCATCAAAACTGCCCACAATCTTGCACACGTTTGGGCTCCTCTTGTTAGTATCTGTGGCGCAGGTCGAAGATAGAAGCGACCGTCCGAATCCGAGCCAGGCATCGCAGGCTGCGCAGGCTGAGGATCAGACCTTCTTGGTCTCCTTGTCGGCCCGAGAGCTGCACGAGCCCGGATCCCGGGCAAGCGCGTTCAACGGCGCGCTGGGCGCGCGTGTGGGGGGGGGGGAAGTCGTCTTGCCCTTTTTCCTTCAAACACGTGCCGAAGAAAGGATACCAACTCCAAAAAAACGATATACCCGTGCCCTTGGCCGGTCTTTTAGCCCTGCCAGCTTTTGCAACCCTTTGGATGTCAACACCCATCAGTTTGGGGACGCTTTCGGATCCAATGACTTCGGAATCCGCAAGACCGAATCAGTGGCTTCCCGAAGTGAGGAGTCGATTCATTTCAGGCTGGTTCCTGTGGCTCTCCTGTGGGCGAGATGATCAGGCGTATACAAAATTCTCCGGCGAACATTGGAAAAGGTGTACGGTCAATTTGGGGCTTACCGCAACGGCATGTTTGACCCTGGCTCATATGCGAAAATGGAGACCCGCCGACCCCTTGTGGGTCCAGCTGGCTTTGACCCGCCGCATCCAAGTATGTTTTGGTACTATGAATCAGAAGCTGACTTAGCCTTCTCAGAACGTACGTTCCGAAACTTGCAACGCACGTTTTGACCCAGCACGTTTTCAATGCTTCCGCTTTCCACGTGCCGAACATTTGTCTTTTCAGCCAGGGAACAGACCTGACGATGCATTTTTGCTTGCACAGGTCTCACAACAACTTGTTTGCTGCACTTTGGGTGTGGTTTTGAATCTGGGGGCATTTTTCAGCTCCAAGCAACGCTTCTGGACTAAGACAATGAAGATCTCCGGAAGACTGTCGGGAGAGTACGGGAAGACTACGGAACACTTCTGGGAGACTACCGGAAGATTACTAGAAGACTATGGGAGCGTCCCGAATAACACCCCGTCATCCCTGTGTTTTCCGCATGCCGAAGTGCTTCGGCACATGCTTTGTGTTGTGTTTACGTCGTTGGGAAATACGTTTCGGCGTGGGCGTTACGGGGCAGAGGGCTGCTTTTTAATCTTTAGATCATGAGCCCGCGTTGACAAAGAGGGATCATGTAGAGCTCGTGTTGGCTCCATCAGTGGTCTTGCCGCGGCACAGAAAAACGGAAGTCTGCCTGTGATTGACCCCAGCCCGAGGCTCCAACAGATGCTGCAGTCCGTGCCTCGGGTAGTTCTGCAGGTGCATTCGGCCGAATCCCAGGGCCGAAAAACAAGCGCCCAGTAAAGGGTGGTTCTGTTTTTGAAAGCATCCAAATATGTTTGGCCTCCTTTTCTAACCGCACGAACGGCTCCATTATTTTTGGAAACATCCAACTGCTATCCCATTGCAAGTCACTAGAGCGAGCATGTTGCAGGGTTCTTTGTTTGTCCCTCGCTCTCTCTCTCTCTCTCTCTCTCTCTCTCTCTCTCTCTCTCTTTCTCTCGTGCTATGTGCCCATTTTCTACATATATATATATATACTATGTGGTACCCCCCACCACCCAACACAAACGGAGATCCAAGATTCAACATCTAGAGTCCTGGGAATCTTGCAACTTGAATCTTAGATCCAAAAGTTCTTTAAGGCGCTTGAAGACTTTTTGGGTGCCCCATACCGGATTCAAGATTCAAGATCTAGAATCCTGAGAATCTTGAATCTTGAATCTTGGATCCAAAGGTGTGTACTTGTGCGCAGTAAATGCAGTTGATAGTTCAGCATATGGACATTGAAGAACTTTAATTCATTAAACATGACGGAAATCCACGCGTACCCTTGGATATTGAACAAATATTGTGACTATGGTTTTTGTTTTGCATGATTTGTTAGCTGTTTTTGCGCAGAACAGATGTTGTTCAGGGAAACTAATTGTTTAAATGGACAGCTTGGCATTGGTCAATGCATACAAGAAGTGAGCAGATTGTTTGGTTTTGGCCAAGAGTTGTGAGCTGACAGACGAAGGGGGGGATTTGCAGATCAGTTGAGATGAGAGATGGAAGGCGCGCAGCAGACGTTTTGGTACTGGCACAGGTTTGTAAGTTGACAGACGAAGAGGGTTTGTTTGCTCATGAGTTGAGATGAGAAGTCGAAGATTAGTAGGCGAAGCAGAAGAAGTATTGCTTGCATTGTTTTTGATACCCTGGCGCCGGTACCCTTACAGAGATGTTTTGCAGTCAATTGAGTTAGGATAACATTAGCAACGCAGACTATGAAGAAGCAAAATTAATGTGGACATCTTTCAACGTTGAACAAACGCGATTTTGCATCCGATTTCTATTTGATGAGCAGCAGGCATTTATATATATATATATAGATGAATGCAAACATACATACGCATAACATTACGGAGGTGAGTTTCCTTTTCGCCACCAATCAAGGGGTGATTTGAAGAGTGTCACTTTTTGGGCCTGTTCATTGGAACAGTCAGCACAAGAAACGGAGGTAATAGACCACTTGGCTGGTTGTGTCTTGTTTGAGAAATCTTGTGGAAATCAGTCAGTGGGCGTTCAGCGTCCGTTGAAATGCCTACGCATCCTGGGCGCCGGGCGCAGGTTGCGAGCCGTATGAATCAGGGCATTGCGATGACCCTGTCATGCCCGTCGGTACAGAAGGCAACCTCAAACTGGGGGTTGTCAACCTTGCCTACTCGCCAGCGGGCAAAGGCTTTTGCCCTGCGCCAGAGGACGCTATGCACAAAACGTGGCGAATTTGCTGCACCTACTGCACCTGATCACCTGGCGTTGCCCCGTAAATGACTGGTCACGCTCCGTCCTGTACTGGCTCGTTTTTACGCCGTATTTGGCTTACTGCGAGCGACGCTTCCTAGGTCCCATGAGGCGGCGTTCTTGTTGAGTGCCGGCCGAAACGGCATTCTCGAATTTGTTTGCATCTAGTCTTTGACCAATTTGTCTGAGAACCTCGAGTTCGGAGAGTTGGAGCCGAACCTGCTCCCGGAGCAGCGTCGTCATCCCCGGAGGCCCCGAGAGGATCTGTCCCGCTGCTCGTTGGCTGACATACACCTCAGCCTGCCAGCCACCTGCGTTGGGGCGTGGCGTTCGCCTCACCCGATTGCATCGCCTTGTTGCAAAGTGTTTCGAAACTCTCAGTGTGTCGCCCCGAGCGTTGTTTCCGCTTCGTGTTCGTGTGATCGCTGGCTTTTCTGTCTGGCATCATGTATCGAACAAAAAGGAAACCAAAGCAAGAGACAGGGAAAGCAGCAGAAAGACAAAACAACAAGGACAGGACCCAAATCACAAACACAGAAAAAGGGCGGCCAAAGCAAAAGACGAAAGGACAGAAACCACTTCGCTTCAGCTTCCTTGTTCGTCACGCCTGCCGGCCTACCTTGTGGTGCTTGAAACCACCCGCTTCGGGGGATCCCCAGTTGTCTTCACAACCCAAATTACCCACTTCAATCTTTGCGCTCCTCTTGGAAGGATTTGTCTTGGAATGTGTTGCTTGGCACAGCGCTTCTTCTGGTCAAGCCATCAGGGCATGTTCCGGTGCCAATTTGCCCCATGCAGATTGAGCTAATTATTTGGGTTGACCCGACCATTTTTTTCAGGCCCGAATGCAACCAAAGTAGTGCCACTAAACCAACCCAACACTACAAGCTCGTGGCAAGTTGCGCTAATTTCGGGGGATTCCTGGTTCCCTTGCTTGCAATGTATTTGTCGACCATTGCTCTTGCGGAAACTGCTAAGAACCCCCCTTCCAAGATTAGGGCTTAGCCTGAAAAAGGACCAAGGCCAATTCAGGTGGTCAATGTGCAATAAGCCAAGGGCCAAAGAAGCCGTCCTGGATCTTTGGGAGGGCTGTATTTTTCCCTTCCGCCTCACTCCTCCGCCATTTGGAGGCCCCGCGCCGCCAGGTGCGGCCGGTGGGAAGTGGGAAGGGGGGAGGGAATGGCAAGAAAGCCTTGAAAGGATGTGGCCGGGTGCTTTGAAGTGAATACGTGCAGAAGTTCAGGGGTTCTCAACAATACTGGGACGGGGGGGGGGTATGGGGCGGGGGTGTATGGGGGCCCCCGTCCCCCAAAAGCCCAGTATTTAGCGGATCATTGTGAGGATGTCACTTTCACGGAAGCAGCTGGTGGTGATTGCGCTTGGCGCGTTTCCTTGCCGAGAACTTCAACAAAGGCTGAATGTAGGTTTATGAACACCGAGGCCATGGTCCCAGACATGTGGGAATAGCACAATTTGGCCAGACTCTGAGTCTCTATGTGGTGTGTCTCCAAGCCGCACTTGTCATAGCTCAGACAAGGCTCCCAGGGCCTGTGAGGCCGAAACAGTTGGACCTCGTGGCCAGTCACTGCCTCCGTTTTTGTTTTAAATGGGACGGGCCATCCTCTCATCGGGGGTCGATTTCATCCTGGGTTCTCATTTCTCATCAACGCCCTGCGGTTGCTTATTATATCGTGCTAACTAGCAAACATTTTCACACAACCACACAACAAACACAAACACAAGCACATACACCAGCACGAACTCAAGCTCAAACACAAACGCACACGCAATCACAAAAACAAACGCAGAAGCACAAGCACAAACACCACAACAAGGACAAGCACAATACACACACACACACACACTACCAAAACAAGCACGAAATCATCAGCAAACAAACACAGACACACAGACACACAGACACACACACACACACTCACACAGTCACAGACACACACACACACACACACACACACACATCCACTTAATTGTGGGGTCCCAGTCCCAATACAGCAATTAGAGAAAAGTCACAGGACCACCCTGTTTATCGATTTGCCTCTTTATTGCGGGCTTGCCGATTCGGGGGCCAAGCTCACCATGGAGCTCCTTCGGAGATCCAACTCTTAGTTCAGGCTTAGAATTTGGTGATTTCTCGATGGTTCCAACGCACAGTTGGGGGATGAAGCTCCCAACCCGGTTGGCGTGCCAGGACTGAGAATGAGCTCGTGGATATCTTGGAATGCCTTCAGAACATGGCAAATGCCCTGGGCCTCAGGTAATCCACAACAGATGAATGGGAGGAACCCTCAAAACCCACCCGTTTGTGGAGGAAGCTCCTTTTTGGGAAATGGACCCCTGGTTTAGGTTCCATGTTAGTTTGGAGAGGAGTAGCAGTTTGATCAGGACTCTTGCTAAGATGGGAATGACCCCTTTTTCCCGCACCGCCACCCCCCCCCCCCGTCTGTCTCTTTTTTGGGGCAAAGGTACCATTATTTTGGGCGGGTCCTCAGAAAAGACACACCCAGACCTATTTTTGATCTATTTTTTTGGGTTCCATCTGCAGGCCCTTGGGCCTTGAAATCCTCCACGTGACTCGAGGCTTCTCCCTTCGGCCCGATCTCGCCTAGGACTCCCACAAGATGCAAGGCTGCTCCCGTGAACAGATGCTGGAGGCGGGAAAAAGGGTGCGGGGAAGGGATCTGCATTTGGTTTTGGGCTTCGACTCTGGATGTTTTCGGACTGACTTATGGAATTGGTGATTTGTGGTAGATTTGGGCTGATTCCTACCCTGGACCAGGGACTCCCTTGCCCGGCCTTTCCAGAAGGTGATCGGGCTTCTCGAACCGGACGGGTGGCGTGGCTTTGTTTTGTAGTGTTCCGATTTGTTCGTTTTGGCCCTTTGGCCAAAACGAAAAAACACCAAACTGTGGTTGCATCCGACTCGCAGGCCGCAGGCTTGGTGTCCAGCTTCAAGCGCCAGCTGTCGCCACTTGCCGAAGCCGAAGCCGGAGTTTTGTTGTTTGCGGTTTGTTTGGTGGTAGGAAAGATGTCCGATTTGATGTACCGGCACTGTTCAGGGATCCCTATATTTCCTCTTTTTTTTCCCAGCCAGTTTAAACTTTGCCTTTTGGGCCACTTTTCGACGAGTTTCGCATGAGCCCTAGGTCAAAGTGAGGCCAGTGATGCTGGCAGCTATGGTCAGCCCTCGCACTAGGTCCAGGTAGTGGTTGTTCTTGCCACGGTAAATCCACCCTAGGTTTAGGATCTTTTATTCGCTTTTTGAAAGACAATCTAACCTTCTACTCTCGATACATGTTCTTCTTGTGATAGGGCCCTCCACCTTCAAGTTTAGCTTCTTGTTGTACAAAAGCCCTTAGACTTGACACACCATCCCGAGAAACAAGGCTCATGTATGTAAGATACTGGCTGGGTCGAGCACACACCAAATCCAGGCCTCTCACCCTTAAATCACTCGCCCTCCCACCCTGGAACATTGTTCTTCTTTGAGCTCTTTGTGCATAGTTACCCTCCCGCTGCCATGGAGCCGAACCCCCTTTTCAAGAGGACCTGCGACACGCTTGCTCCGTAAGCAAGCCCTTTGCCAGAGACCCTTCAACCGATCAGGTGTTTGGAGCAAGCCCAAAACAGCTACCCTCCCCCGTCTTTCGATATGGCTGTGGTTCAAAATCAATGGGATCCCATTTTGGGGTGCACCACCCATTTTAGTCTATTTTAGTGGGGATTGGGATGTTCACTGGGGGTACGGGATTTTGACCCATGGCCATATGACACCTAGCCAACTTCCCTTTAAGGGACCTAAACTGCAACGGCATGCCACAAGCGAGCAGATGAGCAGGCAAGGAGCGTCAAACCCTAAAGAGCATCAGGTTGGCCACGAATTCCTGGGCTGCATGCGCTTCACCCTCGAACTCCTCCCTTGAACATGAAACTGCTATGCCACCTGACCAACCTCCCCCAAAAAACACTTCCCCCCAGGCCAACCTGAACTGCAATGCCACCTGAACCAAACGGAGAAGCCTTCCGAAAAGCGCTCACCGGCGGCTCTCACCGGCGGCTTTCGCTCCCCGGCCGCTTCCCGAGATCGCTCTACACCGAGTGCAAGGCCAAACTCGCGGACATCAACGCCACCGCCGCCGCGGCCGCGGCACCGGCCAGGGCCTCAGGTCGATTCGATGGCAGCTGGGGGCGGGAAGCTTGGCGGCGTGGAAAGGAACAAAAGGGTGGGAAAATGGTGGCAGCTGGAACTTGGAGCTCGGAAACCTGTTTCTTTTTTCCTTTTTGCGTCTGGTTTGGGGTTTTGCAGTATGGTCAGTTCCCCAGATGACACTGTGAGTGCTTTCAGTGATGACACCACTTTTGCCAAAGCGACCCTTGGGAGAAGATGGCTAGCTTTTTGGTCTTTGCACTCCTGGTCCATCCCAATCATCGAGAGACTCGTCATGATGAGAGGACACCTTTTGACCCAAATGATCCTTTCCAGAGCGACTACATCATCTCGGGCACAGATGGCAATGACAACCACACGAACAACGTGGCACTTTCTTCCGGTTTTCCAGATCATTTCCCCTTTCAACTAGCCAGTTCAGTTAACTTTTTGCAGGGCAACGTGGCCCGGTGATTTCGACGATTCCACTGATAAACCTCCGTTTCATCGAGAAGGGTGGGGCGCGTGCCCCGTTTGAGAGGGGTCCGGAATCACTTCCGGATGTTTCGGTTTTGGCGAGCACAAGCCGCTGAAATTCGAGCACGCAACCATTGGCGAGGGAGGGGGCTTGAGGGAGGGGGGTGAGCTGCGATTGCTGGGACCTCTCAAATGACCCGAGGTTTGCTCAATGGGCCAGCATTTGTGAACGTCATCTTTGGTTCAAAAGCCGAGGTCGGTTCGGGAAGGAGGTGCCGTCAAACAACCCTTGTTGCGACAACCTCCGGCAGGGTTTTGAGGCAATGCAACCTCTGGGACTCTCCCATGAGCTCGGTGTTTGCTCACCTAGGGCGTTATTCGGCACAGCCCCACCCACCCCACCCACCCGCCCGCCCGCCCGCCCGCCCGCCCGCCCGCCCGCCCGCCCGCCCGCCCGCCCGCCCGACCACCCCGCCAAACCACCTACTCACCCACGATCCCACGCACCCACGCACCCACGCACCCACGCACCCACGCACCCACACACCCACTGCGCCCTGCCAGATGCCGCAGCTGGATTTGGCAACTCTGATGGGCCTCAACGGTATGCCAGGCGCGGCTTTTCGCACAAGTTTCAGCAGCCATTATTTACGCCCAGTCTTCTAAGCTGGTGGGTACAGGGCTGGCTATAGGTATATAATACCTTCATACATATATATATATATATATACACTGATATATATATATATATGCATTTATAGAACTATATTCAAATATACAACACATATATACAGAGATATGAACATAGACAAACACACACACAAACACACACAATATGTATATATATATATACACATACAAACAACTATTTGACACACACACACACAGATAAATAAGTAAATCAATCAATACGTGTGTACATATATATCATATGTATATGTATATATACATATTATATGTCTACACTAAACGTCGCCCTTGAAGAAGTCAAATTGAGAAGAGGAACCAACAATAATCCAAAGACCTGGAGGGGTGCCACACATAGCAGAAGCCTTCTCTGCTTTGTTCCTTTTTGATTTGTCCTTCCTTCTTCAACTTCAACCAGCAATAAGGCGTTTGGGTACAATCCTTAAATCTTCCCTCTGGAGTGCGGACATCTACATGCGGGAGAACTCCGAGTTGACTGTTTGTGGAGGATATCTAGGCTTGGACCAGTTTCGGCTGGGAGTCAGGTCGGATGCTTAAACAGCCGGGACAAACTACCTGCCCTGCTTAACATGAACTCCCCGAATTTGGAGGAATCTCGTGGTGGAGCTCCTCTTTTTGGTTCCATGTTGATTTGAGCGGCGCGGCCACCCCTCTACCAAAAGATCCACGGCTGTTTGGCGAGGCTTACCCCCCACCTCGGTGGGCGCGTTGCCCCCCACAGTGGGGGCGTCGCCCTCCGTGCAAGCGCAGGCGGGAGCTGGAGTTGAGCGACGGGGGCTTACCGTTTGGGAAGCCAACATGGGCCTTGCTCGCAGATTGAAAAGGGAGGGAAAGAGCCAAAAGCAGGGTTGGGGGATCAAGGGGTTTATCCCCACTTCCGTGATACAAGGGAATCATCCTGTTTTGGGGGGGTTAGTGTTTTGGGGGAAGCCCTTTTTGTTGTATCACAGAAGTGGTCATTTCACACAGCCCTGGCCAAAAGGGCCAGGGGTTGATCCTCTTGCACATCTCTCAGTTTTCTTTTCTCGTTTTTTCTCTCGCGGCAGGCCATGGCCATTCTGCAGGCAGGAGCAGTCCGAGGGGTGGTTAGGTGGCTGGCTTGAGTGATGAGCAAATGAGCGGGGGATCCATTCGAGCATTGGTGCAAAGAGCAAACGAGGGAATTGGAGGTTCCATGCGCCAGCTGAAAGTTGCAAGTGCGGAGCGAGGCAAGCTCTTCATCTCACAAATCCCGTGCTGTTGTTTGTTTGCTGGCCTTTTGCCAGAAACCATTGCCGTTCCTTCAGCGAGCTCAGCTAGGGGTACAGCAAGCGCACCATGAGGTCCTTGTCCTGAGGATCCGATTCTTGTTTTTAGGTGTTGGAATTGTTGAACATGTTGCAGATTAATTCATTCCTTCTTTTGTTTAACACTTGTGCAGATGTTCGGGGAGTCTTCCGCTTTGGGTTCTTGAACGGTCTGCCCAGTCTTGGTTTCTCCGTCCGAATCCGCGCACTCCAAAATTGTAGTTTGTGCTTTCCCTTTGCACCAATGTAAAAACGGTACCCTCAGAAAAATACACCGATTTGCAGAGGAGCCTCTTCTTCGGGGATGCAACGTGGGTTCCATGGCAATCTGAAGGAGTTGCTACCTTCCCAAACATCTGATCATGTGCCCTGCCGGGAATCCTCGGGCAACTTGGACACTTAGCACCTCACTCGTTTTCGAGCTCCGGGAACAGCATTTTCAGATTTCGCCTGGGTACCTTGAGGGGTTCTCGAGAATACTTTTGGGGTGGTTTCCCTTCAAACCGAGCATGTCACCATGGACCCAGATTTCCCGTTCAGGCTATGGTTTGTAGCTTTTCTTGCCAGGTGCGATGTAAGACGTAGCCTCCCACTTGCGCCAAGAAGGCGCTCTTTTGTGAATAGCACCGTGAGGGTGGATCGCGGGGCTCGAACGGCAGGCGCAGCAGCATCTGAACTTGCTGCAGGCGCAGTTGGGTGCAGGCAGGGCACTTCCAGTTTGCTTTCTCTCTTTCGTGGTCCAAGCTCGGACGTTCCCGGCTTGGGTCACTCGAACAAGACCTGACCTGCTACTTGTAGGCGTGTTTTGGGCATCATCATTTGGTTGGACCTGAAGTGCGCGAAAATTTTCGCCGGGTAGGACCTTCAAAGGAGCCCCCCTTGAACGGTCTCACTCCCCCTGAGAACCTCTCAAGTCCTTCGAAGGAAAGGCGAAAAGCCCCAAACCCAAACACCTGCTCCAAAACACGCCGCCACCATAAGACAGTTTTCCAAGCATAGAGACACCTGCAAAGCCAGGTCAAACAAGCCCAACGGTCCACGGCGGTGTCTGTTTTTGAAGTCAGAGCTGTTTTCGGGCCTCTTTGCGGGAAGCCAAAGGGAATCCGAAGGGAAAATAACGGGACAGCCCTTTTGTTTCGATGGGAAACTAAAGCAAATTCCCTCCTCCGAACACCGCCCCTTTCCAGGGGCATACTTTGAACATCCATGTTTCCCATGGTGAAGTTCTCCTGTTTTGGTCGGGGCGTGACAACATACAGGAACCATGGCCTTCCGAAGTTTTACCGATGTGTCGCTCCTGGACATTTGTCCAAGCTGTTGAATGGCAATTTGGCAGATCCTTCGATCCAACCGAATTCACAAAAGAATCGATGCGGCACAGGTTCCCAGTCGTGGCCTCCTCCCTGAGTTCTTGGACTTGGACACTTTTTGAGAAGGCCATTTTAGCGGCAACCGATCAGTATTTGTGAATAGGGGGCCGGGACAAAAGCATAGTAAAAGTAACAGTGCGCATCAATGGGGCCAACCAACCAAGCCAGCCAGCCAGCCAGCCAGCCAGCCAGCCAGCCAGCCAGCCAGCCAGCCAGCCAGCCAGCCAGCCAGCCAGCCAGCCAGCCAGCCAGCCAGCCAGCCAGCCAGCCAGCCAGCCAGCCAGCCAGCCACGAGGCTTGTCTTCCTGGATGAACACGGCCCCTGGCGCGCCCTGCCGGATCCCCGACCCGGTGCCGCCTCTGTGGTGCATGGCCGCCTCTGTTCGTGAGGTTTTCTTTGGGGGGGGGGGAGCAAAAGACCCGCAGCGCGGAAGTTTTTATAAACCCCTTTATAGCCAACCATCGGTGTAGGCATTGTGAACTTGCTCTTGTTTGGTTGCATATAGACAAGGTAGGTGTAAGGGTTCCTGAGCCATGCCGCTGACCCAGACTGTAGTATTGACCATGGCACATTGGGTGCAGCGTTGCAGGGTGCGAGCGGGCAAGTGAGAGTTTGAGAGTCGCGCAGGGTGCTTTCGCAACGCGTGCGTTAGTATTTCGCAACGCGCGGGTTAAAGGGAACTCACAAAGGAAAGATACCCATTTTAGAGGTCCCCTATTTCAACGCAGACCCATGCGCTGCGCTGTGGTAGGGCCATCAACATTGCACACGATGTCACCTTACTCAAGGTGTTGGTGCAACCGAAAACTGAGCATCCAAGCTTTTTGTTGACATACATTAGCATTTGTGGTTGTTGCGCTTGCTAATTTGTAGTATGTGAAGCGCATGCTGGTGTATGTTCTCGTGTGTTTCCCCAACATCCATACACACCGTCGAGCAAATCCGGCGAGCGAACAGCGATGCGACGAGCCAGCGCGCGATTCCGGGCACCATGAAGGTCCTTGAGCACGAACAGCATCCCTGGACTTAATTTTGAATGACTGCAGCTTGGTGCGGAAATCAGGGAGGGGTTCTTTGGCACATCCTCCCGCTTCGCTTGGCAGAGCAAGGGCCCAGTCCTGCGGTCCCGGAAGGGTGGCTTTTTGCTATCCCGAAGCGGGCTGGTGGTAGCTGCCTTCATGGGAGTTCTAGTAACTCCGTCTCCTCCAAATTAACATAGAGCCCAAAGAGAGGCCCCGGAACATGATGCTTCTTTTTTGGGTTCCATGTTGATCCGAAGAGTAAACACCTTGAAATTCCATGTTGGTGGAACTCCACGCTGGTAGAACCAAAAGTCAGCTCGGGTTTTGCTCGCTCAGCAAAGACGACTGGCGAGGCCCGGCACCGTCGGAGCCATCGGCTTCTCATATGTTGCGTCACCCGCAGGCGCGGTCGCCGTCGGAATCGCCGTCGTCGTGCCGCCAAGGATCCTTTCAGGTCAGACCCAATCAACATTGCAACAAAGTTGGGCCCTTGGTACGCAGGATAGAGATAAACCGGTGCTCTAAGATGTTCATGCGGCATGGGGTTATCAAACAAGTATGCTAACGATTGGAGGTTGGTGTAGGCTTCGTGTTGCCTCCCTTGTGTTCACGCTCCCCTTCCTGTTTTTGAGTCACACGTGATGACACATGTCGAGGGGCCACATGTCGAGGGGCTTTGCACATCACTACCCCTGGACTTTGAGGCGTATGTTACGCTCGCTTTGTGCGTGCAAGAGTCAAAAGTCCTGGTGAGGTAACCATGATTGTGGCCAACATACGCATCTTTGCTACCATAAGGCCCACACAGCGAGTTTTGATGGCTAGTGCAGTGCATGGACAAAACTCAGTATTCCAATCGGGTTTCATTCAAACTGGTGCGGTTTGTTGAATTTGTCCACCAGGTAGGTGGCTCATCAACCAGCATTCAAATTGGGTTTCATCCATCCCAACTGGTGCTGTTTGCGTTTTTCTTTGTCCATCATGACGGGGATGTACCATGGGTGTCCTTTATAGGCTAGTTTGGTTGCAAATGGATGGGTTCCACTGCTGACAGATTTTATGCCCCATTTCTCAGGGCCATCCCCATTCTCTTTGGGCCTGTGGAACAGGAGGAAGCTGCCGAGCGGGCGGCCAAGCGGGAGCGGGGGCAAAGCGTTCCGGGGGGCAAACCGAGCTCACCAAAAGTTGAGGCTCTTTACTTGGAGGTCTCTTGCAGGTTTGAAGTCTAGTAGAGTTCTTGCAGACTATTGACCCCAAGTTTCCTGGGACACCCTTAGTCAGTCCCCAGTTACCCTCTATGGAAGTGGACAAACATGGAAGACCGACTGTCTGCTTACATAAATGTTGGAAAGCGAGAAATCATCAGCCAACCGCCTCAAAAACTCTTTGAACTAGGGTATCTCGCCCCCCGAGGCCAGATGCGACGGCCAGACAGCAGTAGACACATGGCCACAGGGCTCCGAGTAGGTTTTCCCTTTTCAGGGCGGCTTGTTGGGAACATCGCCTTCTGGAAAGGCATGGATATAGGTCGGAAATAAAAGGGAATCCTGGATCACAGGACAGTTGCCGCTGTATGAGCACAGCTGGTGCAGAACCCTTTGCCCTTAGAACCTTTTGCGAATTCGGCGCAGGCCATCGATCTGTTTCTTCTTGGAAACTTCCTTCAGTTGACGGCGCTTCCCTGGGATGATTGAACATGAGCTTCAAGCCCTCGCGTCGCGAAATATACCCCAGAACACAAGGGACGATACCAGAAGCTCAACAGTCCAATGCTTGAAGCCCCAACAAACCTTCACTTCGGGGGGGACATTCGCTGACAACAAATATTAGCTTTCTCAACACAAGGAGTTCGAAGTTTTGCCAAACAGCCCGGGAGCTGTGAGCTTTCGAAACTGGCAACAGCTTCCTTGTTGGTTGTTTGTCCACGAACCAAACGGACGAAGGTCCCTTGTTCTTCTGACACGGCCAGGGAATGTCTTTGGCATCTTTTACAGCTAGCAGGGTATCCGATGTGTTTCAAAGGTGCAGCATTGCACCGAGGTCCCTTGGTTTTTCTGGGCTGCCCCAAATCAACTGCTAGCGCTTATATGCGTCAGAAAGCAAGTGGTGTCTCGTGTTGTAGTGGCGGCCCACTATGGAATACGGATTAGGATCAGGGATGCCAGATTCTGAACAGCCCAGTTCTGCTTATTTAGTGGACATCGCTGCAAAGCATTTCAGTTTGCTGCTGCTGCTGCTGCTGCTGCTGCTGTTGATGGACGAATTCTGCATCAGTTCATAGGTGGTTTGTCCCGTCACTTGAATTTTGATCTATGAAACTCAACGACGCTCCTTCAATCGGAAAGTTTCGGTGTCCAGATGGCTCAATCACTGAGAACTGTGAAATTAGGAGTGACTGCAGATTTGGTCGACTTCTGTACACAAGCGAAAAGACGTCGATGAGCTTGCAGGTTCTTTGCTCTTTTGGAGATGACTGCTTTGGGAGTGGGCCTTTCTTTATTTCAGTCAGTCTCAGCTTGCACTTCGACATGTTCAATTATTCAGGTGGAACTCCAGATTCTTGGGGTGAATGTCGCTCACGGAAAGCCATCTCTTGATGAGAACAAGCGATGCTTCCGGAGCAGTACAAGACATAGTTGAAATCAATTCCAAGTGGCCAGAGCGTGGACTCAGCTTTGCAATGAAGCTGATGTATGATAGGCTTGCAAATCTTTTTTTTTGCCCAAGCGCCCCTTTGGTTGTCGCCCTCAGGGCTTGTGGCTGGGGCTTGTATTGATGGATCGACCGTCTACCTGGCGAACATGTTGCTCCATCAAATGCGAAAGAACTACATCTCTTGTAATTGCGACTTTCCGTCTTTGTAGAATTGAATCGTGCAGCAATAATCTTAGACAATCACACGGATTCCTCGCCAAGGGGACTGTAGCCTAACACATTCAAGCATGGGACACATGTTCTACCATTAGGTGACCAGCATGGCAACCAAAAAGGACCCAACAGATGCGTGCTTTTTGTGCAACAAGCTGTTTGCATCAGTCAGTCCTTAAGGGATCTTTCCAAGGGTTGATTCCACATCCTTTTGGCCCAGTTTTTTCTAATCCATCCACTGCCATCCCCACACTTGGCTCAGATCCACAACACACGGACTTGGATCTGCCCACATTGTGGCGCAAGGGCCACCACGATTGTGGGAGTTTCTGCGTTTCAGGCTGCCACTTTCTGGGATGCCAAGTTTTCCACAGCGAAGCCTCGGATTCTTTGGTACCACAGAAAAGGGAACCATTGTTGACTATCATAAGCACACTTTTCAACCAAGTGAGCACACAGAAACAACACACACACACACACACCTCCAAGACGTTGCTCACATGTTCTGCTCCTTCTTTTTCTCCGTTTCGTTTTGGGATCTTCACAGCTTGGCTTTGGCTTTCGGCTTCAGGGGCGTCAGCGAGCAGAACGAGGCCTTGCGGTCTGGGTGGCCCAGAATGGACTCGTGGCATGCGGCCCATGGCGGAAAGCAGCTCACCAGACACACACACACACACACACACACGTATAGTCATGGTTGTCGTTGGGAAACATTTTACATTTTTGCTTATTGCAGTTTAGTGGGAAATCCCCACTTAGCTGCCAAAATTTAAGTTTTTGCTCCCCTTCCAACGTCAACCAAGTAGTATGTATGTATAATATCATACCTCTTTCGTTTGTGTTTGTTGTTCTTACTCAGGTTTTGAGTACGCCCATGGGAAAATGAGAGTACGCAACAACTGTTTGGCCTTTTTCAAGTCTTCCCGATGGATGCGGTTGCTTGTGGCAGCCCCATTTCCTGGGGTCTGGAAGCCAACGTGGTCTTTTGGTTGGTTTTACAAAAAAACCGAAGCGACACCCACCAAGAAAGGGGGTCCCTTGTTTTAAAACACACCCAAATATATTTTATTTGACATGTTGGCGTGCAGATTGGTATCCTGAACATTGCCGCTTGCCGAGCAGTCCAAGCGCGAAGGAAGTCCCGCGTGCGAATAGCCCATAGCTTAGATTTCCACCAAAGGAAGTTAAAGGGATGGATGTGTTCTTGAAGTCGCTTTTGGTCGGGAGACGTGTGGGGAATTTCGCTTCCCCGAAAGCAAACGTCGTGGTTGCAAACTGGCAACGCAATGACGACCGGGTGTTTTTATTCTTGCAAATCCCCTTGGCTTTTGTTCAGCAGGGAACAAAGGGGAACCCAGCCGTTTTCAGCGGCGCATGATTTTAGTAGGTGTTACTCTTTGCTTGCACCCAAATCGCCTTTTGTTCCCGATCAATGCCAATCTCAAAACGGCCCCGTTCAAAACAAATCGGCCCTTGTTTGCTATGTTTCAAAGGGGACCCACCAAGAAGTATTCCACGATGATCCGCATTTGTGGGGGCCATCTCGTGCCCACTCCCATCCAGTTTTTTCGCCATGGACGGTGAATGCGATGCTGGCAGCGACTCTGGTGACTTGCGGCGGCTGCCAAGCTCGTCGCCCGGAAGATAGTTGGAGGTTTGGTCAAGTTTTCCAGTACCATTTGGGAGAACTCACTAAGTCTCACCACAAAAAGCAGAGAAGTTCCAGTCTTCCAATCTCGTGGGGTTAACATTCGTAACTTTGACTGTGGCTCATGGGACTCAAACTCCCCACTTTTCGGGCAGAAGCCTCCTGGTTTCTCTACCGAAGCTACCCTTTCCACCTAAGGGAAAAGCATATTTTTTGGGTTCCCCTATTTTGATGCATAGGCAAACAAGGCCGGGGGCTTATGGGTCTAGTTTGGGGAAACACGCAGGCGGAGGGGGGGGGGGTTGAGGAGTTGAGGAAGCGGGGCCAATTGTTGTCCTAGCCATCATTCATGGGATACTGCAGATTCCATCCCCTGTCCTTGCTCCAAAGCTTGCTGGAGCTTGCGATTTCGGTAAGGGACATTTGCTCCAACGAGACAAAGTAGCCATAGCGGTTCCCCACTTTGCGATTTTGGTATCACAGATTTTGGGTTACTTCACACAACCGTCCATTTCATCGTTTCGTGTTCCGGGACACCCTGGAAGGTCCTCCTGTTCAAGCACATCCCCAGTACGGAGTTTGTATTTTAGGAAAGACTCAATGGAATACCACCACATGCCTCTGAGGGTCATTCCCCAATCATGTATCCCCTAAAGGCTGGGGGCACTAACTTTCTTTTTCGTCGTCCTTTGCTTTTTTCTGGCTCGATGCCTCGAGGTTCTATTGGGGGCACTGAAAGACTGAAAGGGAAACAACTGTGCTTGTTTCGAGCTCAGAGAGGGTTTCTTGGTTTGCGACCGATTTGGCCCATGGCTCGTTTCATGTGGCTCGGGAGATAAATCTGCCGCCGAGAATTCAATAGGCCTTTGATTGACTGGTCACCGGGCTTGGGCGAGACTCTTTTCAGGAAGTTTGGCCGGGCCAAACGGAGGTGGCCAAAGAACACACTAGTTCTTGAAACATGTTTGAACGATAGCTATTCCAAAGGGACAATCTGCAGGAAATGCCCCCAATCCATCCTAAAGAAGCTGTTTTCCTGTCAAATTTTCCTGTGACCCAACCCTTTTGATCAATGGCTGTGGCTCAAAACCAATGCTACCATTTTGGGGTAGGCGCACTACCCATAGTTCATTTTAGTGGTTGGATTGGTTGATGTTCACTGGGGCTAAACGGGCTTTTGAGCCATGGCCAAATTGAAACCGTCCCTTGGGTTGCACCGAGGATCGAGGAGCTGGTCGCCTTGGAGCCTGGCGTCCTTGGCACGGAAGCCACCGTGCGCGGCGAGGCGCGGAGGGGGCTCCGGGGCCTGGGTGGCACGGGCTTGCTGGGAAATGGCGTGTTCTCCGGAAGGGGTCTCCTTTCTTCTTGTAGGACCCGCTTTTCTCAACATGCAGTGCACCCCGCCAGATGTACAAAGCTTACTGATAACGTTGTGCAACCAAGGTTATGCTCCATCAGCAACTCAAGCCAATGTAGAATTTGTTTTGTGGCTGAGCTGGCGGATCAATCATTTGCATGCATGCAGAAGTAGAAAAAAAACTAGAATGGAGAATGGTGGCCATGTGTGCATCCGAGCTTTTTGTGATCACACCCCGGTCGATTCTCTTTGGTTTTGGTGGGGGGGGGGGCGGGTGGGGGGGGGGGCTACACACACATACACGCACAGTGGGTGACTTGTTCGGGTCCCACTTCCGTCAGTTTTTTTTAGGAATACCATTTTGGTGGTGAAAGGGGCGTCTAGACTTCTAGCCAATCCACGGAAGTGAGCAGTGGTTTTCCCATCTCATTTGGCGTTGCGCAAGTTTCGTGGGAGCCCCTAGCCCCTTACGGTACTTGCTGGTGCCCATTAGGGAATGAGGGATTGACCTCCCTATAAACCATCCCTCGTGGTTTCCTTTCAGGGAATTCCTGGGTTCATTCCCACATTCCCTACCTATCGCACCAGCAAGCAGTGGAGAAACCGAAAGGGTGAATCGCCTTCGAAAGCGCGAAGCAGCCAGCGGTTTGGTCCTATGCCAACACAAGTGGTACCAGCCAGTGAAGGGGTTTTTTGCTTGGCCGTTATTTTCCCCCCCACCTGTTTTTTTGCACTTTCCGGCCGGCTTTTCCACTTTCCGGGCAAGGTTTCGGGGACTTTTCGGCCAGGCGTTTCACGTGTTTCCACTTTTCGGCCCGTGCTCTGCCGGTTTTTGTGCCCAGGTGCTGAGCCGCCGGGTGAAGTCCAGGCACCTGGTCTTCTGCACCTTGCAGGCCGGGAAGCCTCGGTTTGGACACCGAGGCTTGGGTCTTGCAATCAGAAAGGGGGTGGGATGGTAATGGAATCCCCGGATCTGAGTAGAACCCCTGGTTGATCCATAGAGGGTGTGTCCCCTTGTAGTGGCGGTTTGTAGATGACAGCCCTGCCAGAATTTCTGGGGGCCATTTGAGTGGTAAATCAAAAGTTCCTGGCGACTTTTCTTGGCCAGTTCACGCAACAAGTGAGAAAGCAGGGGGGTGGGGGGTCGGGGGATGTGGTTTCATGATGCATTTGTTTTGGTCATTTGAACGCGGCCGCCTTTGGTTGGCGATAACCTCGCTTTTGGGACTTCGTGGCAGAGTCCCTCGCCAGCCTTTGAGGAAGTCCTCCTTTTCGTGGGGCCGTGGAGGCCCTGGCCTCTCGACACTGGCCAGCTACATTTTCCCCTCAGACTTGAGTTGTTACCATGATGGCTGCGAAGTTGTCGCCTCTCGCGAATGGTTCTGGTTGGCGGCCAAAAAGTCAATGGAAGCTCCTCCTTTCGGACCGGCGAATTGCCCTTCACCACATCAATCCCCAAGTTTCTGATGTCCCGCCAAGGGCCTCAGGGGTCCTTAACTCACATCCTGACTTCATGAACTGCATCTTTTTGGTAAGACCATTTTAGCACGCAAAAAGTTCGGTAGACTGATTTTGGGCCAGCCGCCCGATCGGAAGCGAGTTGATAGGCCATACAGACCCCCTCCAAACCAAGCGCCGTTTTGGTCCAGGTGGAGTCCGGCGAGATGCTGGGCCTTTGCTTTGCCGCAGCGCTCATGGAGAAAGTGGAGGCGGGGCCGACGAAAAAAAAAATCGAGATGCTGCGGGATAGACGGATTTGGCCCGGCGAACTGAACAGGGTAGCCTCAGAAAAAAAAATCAAAAAACAAAAAAAAACAAAAAACAAAACACACACCCATCATTTGGAGGAAACCAGGTGGTTTATGGCCGGAAGAGTGGGGATTTGAGTCCTACTGCGGATGGTTGCGAAATCCGTTTCGTACTTTGAAGCCATGGTTGAAGCCATAAGGTTTGTTGGTATTTACGGGGGGCAATCATCATTAAATGGTTTCTTAGGGGTTTTGTCCATCCCCCGTAGGTACGCTCTCCTGCGACGTGCTAAATCCGACTGCGTCTCACTCCCGGAGTTCCTGGAGTTTAGTCCCTTAGGTTTGGACCATGTTGAGCAGGATGTGGAGAAACCGTCTCTGGATTTTTCTTGTGGCCGATCCGCTCAGGAAGCGAGATATCTTCACTATGAATTGAACAGTGTCGGGGAATTGCAGGAAACTTGGTGCGAGAACCTCCCCCCCCCTCCCCCCGCCACTGCGAGAGCAGAGCGTGCTATTCTTATGCCCTTCTATTATCCTCATATTGCCTGACTGCCGTCGGAAAACCCAAAGTGTCTTGGCTTGCGTTGCTCATGAAGTTCCCTTGGTGAGCCCCAAGCCAAGTTGCCAACCCATGGCCAGCTCGATCCAGGCGAGCGACGCGGCGTGGCTTCCGCCGCCCGCGCGGCGGAACGACCTGGCGGTCGGCGCGCGGGTGGAGGCGGCGTCGTTATTTTCTGGGGGCCGCACCAAAACTGGCGGTTTTCCTGGCGGTTTGCGTTTTTAAATCACCCCAAACAGGTAACCTCAAGAAGTGGCACCCTTGTTCAGCGGGAAATGTATGCGGATCCTAGCGGGCATAGAAGGCTTGCACGGTTCCCGGAGAATGATGGAATTACTTTATGACAGATGGTGGTTTCCAATATTCCATCCTCTCTCTTGATCCACTGAGAACCAGCAAGCTACATTGTTGTTGTGTCTGAGGGGAAAACCTAGCCTCCCCGAGGCGAATTCTCAAGACTGCCCAAGAAACCACTCTGCTTAGATGGTTTGGCTGGATTGTGAAAAGCCCAGGACAAGCCCCCCCATATGGCCAGGCGCAGGTCCTCCGCGCTCCGCGCTTCCGGCCGGAGCCGCTGGCGCGCCGCTGGCGGCTGCTGGAGGCGCGAGTGGCTGCATGGGGGTATATAAGTTGGGTAAAGTTGGGTAAAGTTGGGAAAAAGTTGGGTAAAGCTGGGTAAAGAATGGGGGCAATGTGAGGGTAACAAGTTGGATAAAGGGTTGGTGTGAACCGGGCCCCGCGCCCTCGAGCTCGAGCTCGTTCAGACTCGCCCGAGGCGCCGCAGATTGGGCTCAGGGATGCAAAGCACTTGGTGCGGAGGGATGAGGCCAGCAGACGGGGGGGTCGCTTTATTTCCAACCTGAAAGCATCATGAAGGGGAACTCACCATGAAGGAAAAACACTTTATGAGCTTGTGGCGGTTTTAAATATGGTTTAAATATCATCCCCCCTTACATGGGAGAACAAGATGACATTTAGCACCTGCAAAAGGGAAGTTTCTTCTGGGAAGGGGCAATTCCTTCTCCCTTCGGGGATGCTCTCTCCTGGTTTCGAGGGGGGCGCGGGTGTTAGGTTTGCCATCGTGTTAATTTTCAAAATTATCCAAACACACTGTTGCCACTTCTTCTGGAACATGCTGCCTGGTCATGCTGCTTGAGCTTGCTTGGTCTTGGCACCAGGACGGGAATTAGCCTTCCGACATTTCTATGCCAGACGCCGTTCTGTGACGTTTGGACGGCTTGCCGTGGCCAGTAGTCTTGGCTTTTTTTGCGTCCGAGAGTCACTTTCAAAGAATCCGGTCGCTTCCCAGTTCGCATTTTCACTCCTTGTTTCTTCTGCTTTTTTCCTCGAACGACAGGCACATCGTCGGGCTCAGCAGCTGCTGCCAGGCGTGTCGCAGCAGCTGAAAAAGAAAGCCTGAGAACAAGATCGGAAAAGGACACCGTTACTCATGACGGCAAGGCTTGAGAAACAAGATCACCCCGCGAGAACGGAACGCCGTGCCAGTCAGCACAATAGTCTTCTCCACATTTCGTTGCGTGATTGCACCATGAAACGTGGCAGAAATCACAGGGTCGGTTTCCGACTTTTCTCCTCAACAAGTGTTTTCAAGCAATCGAGGGAAATCACTACGGGACGTGCCCCGGCATAGCTCTAAGAGTAATCAACCACAAACTTTTCATTTTTTTGAGTCTCAAACGACACCACACAAGGATGAAGGTCTTTTTCCTGAGTCCTCCATAGTCTTTCTTGGTAGGGCAGCTTTGCGTAGCTTGGGTCATCACTTACCCCCCGTTGGCTTGGACCATTTGAGCTCATAAGGCGCAGCTTCAGGATTTCATCACCGCTTCGGGGGCCTTTCTGCTGGAAACATCCTTCAATCGGCTCGCATTAAAAGGAAGAGCGCAGGCAGTCGGCAGTCGTAGGGCAACTTTTAGGGCGCGCTCCTTCAGCCGTATCTACTCTGGATGTCCTCTCCACTTTTGGGAGGACTCCGCCTGTTTTTGAGCAATCTAGTCATAAAATGCCAACGTTTAGGAGGACCCCCGAGCTTCCAATCAATCCAAGAACGACAATTAGAGGGACGCCCCCGCATTTTTCCGGCCAGACCGCCCCTTGGCGCTTTGCAAGCGCTGGTCCGGCTGCGCGGCGGGAGATTGCGAGGTGGGGTTTAGGGAATTGCCGGATCTAAGTGGAACCCCTGGTTGATTCATGGAGGGGTGTCCCCTTCTAGTGGGGATTTTGGGGGTTTCTAGATCCGACTTCCTGGACTTTAGTCACTTTCCGGGAACATCATGAAAGTGGTCAACAAGCAACATCGGAGTTTTTGTTGGCCAGTCCACTCGATTGGAAGTGCCGTTGTAACGATCGCACTGGTCGCTGTTCCTTCAGCTTGCGGATTCGTCGCTCGGCCGTCCGGGCTCCCTCCGGGAGGCCTCTTGCGGCTTCCGGCACTACTTCGAGACAGAGGCCGAGGCGCAAGGGTTCCGTCGAGGATGCGCAGCCGATGGCCCCCCGGATTGGTGCTCCAGGCTCCCGTTCAAAGCCAAGATCTGTAAAGTTGAGATCCATTCAAAGCCACCAGGAGGATTACGCATGGTCGCGGAATATCACGCGCACTCTGTGATACCGTGGGTCATTCCCGACATTTTGAAGTAGAACTGGTAGCGCAAACGTGGCTCATATTATCCACATGGGACATGGGTTGGCCCCAACCCAAACCGAGCAAAAACTGTTTGTCTCAGAATGAGGGGACCCCTAACTTCCTTTTAGTTCCCCCCCAAAAAGAAAACACACATATAAAAGAAACACTTACAATAATCATAAAGTAAGATTGTGGCTTTCCTTTTGAATCCCTTCAACCACCTCTAAGAGGGGTTTTCTATTGGTTTCCCTTCTACCACCAAGAAACACTAGAAGGGGTTCCTTACTAAAGTTGACCTTGGTTTCCCTGTACCACCCGAACAAACCTGGCTTCCTTATTAAAGTTGACACACCCTTACCCTGAGGTTCAAACCATCAAAATAATGGGGGTTCGTACAACCAGCGTTGTTTGCCTAAGGATTGCCATCATCTAAAGCCCGTACCCCCAGTGAACATCCCAATCCAAGCACAAAAATAGGTCCTAAGCTGGGTGGCGAATTCACCTACCCACCAAACTGGGATCAACCAAAACGGTTTTGGCCAACCACAACCAACTTGGGTCCACCGGGTTGACCCTTAACCTGAGGTTCAAACCATCAAAGCAATGGGGTTTCATACAACCACCGTTGCTCACCTAAGGATTGCCATCCAATTCGGGTGAACCATTATCTTGGGGGTTGAACCCCAGGGCTTGGCGGGCCACGCCCTCTCCGCCCCAGGAGGCCAAGGCGCAAAGCGCGGCCGCCGCGCGGCTGCGGTCGCAGCGGCTGCAGCGCGAGGAGCTGGCGGCCTACGACGGCGACGGCGCGGGAGGCGCGGGAGGCGGGGGAGGCGGGGGAGGCGGGGGCGCCTCGGGTGGAAGGTGGAGTTGCCTGGCGATGTTCCTTGACTGCTATTGGGTTGGATCTTTAGACTCCAACTTTTTGGGAAATCAAGGGGTTTTCCACTAAACCCCCAAAAAGTTTAACTTTTTGCAGGGGGGTCAACAGCAACCAAGGTTCGTGGGCGTCCTTTTTAGAACAGTTTAACTAGAAATAAATGGCACTGGTTTAGATTGATTTCATTCCATTTACCAGGGCCATCTATTTTGCCGAAAGGACACCTACGGCGATGTTCCGTTTTTTGGGGACCCTTTGGCGGGTTCCGTGTTAGTGGACTGGAGTCTGAACGTACTTTTTTGATTGAAGCTCAGATGTGGGCCAAGCTGGGAGCAGGTTGGTTCTGTGCCTTTTGTCCCAATCAGTTCGTTGCGGAACGCCCAACCTGGGAAGGGGATTTAGACCCAAAGCTGGGATCGGAACGACCTGACAGCCCAAAGAAGCTCCAGAATCGTTGGGTGGATGCCTGGTGCTTCTGAGTCAAATGCCGACTAAGACTGAATCCCCAACAGCGTTGGAAATGCCGAGGGGTGTTCCTTGTTGTTTTTTGTTCTTTGGGGAAGGGTTTTCCCTGGGTCCAAATCGATCGGAGGGTACCGAAGCCAGTGGGCAGGTGCGAGTGACCTAAGCCGGGCTGAAGACGACTGCACGAAGTCTTTCAGGGAGATCGGCTATGCATCTCGATGGGGAACCTCCTTCAGAATAGTTTGATGGACAGAAGCAAGAAGCAAACAGCATGGAAATGATGGGCACCCAACGTACCCCCAGTGCCCTTTGGAGCGGCTGGTGTCCTTTTTCCTGAATCTTCTGAGTGCCTCTGCGATTTCCCATGGCCTTCCGTGAACCGGTCTGATCCGGGGTCCCTCCAGCTTTGCTCAGCGGGTTTTTGGGCATCACTTAAAAATTCGACCGATGTCAAGGGGATTTCCCTTCAAGAACGCAGTGGACCGGCAAACGGAGGGAGATTCGGCCGATTTCAGGGGAGCTTCCCTTGGGGCCGAGGATTTTCACAGGCAACCGGCCGCCAGGCGCCCACGACAAGGCGGGCAAGCGCCAGCGCGCCTGGAGCTTTGCTGCGTGGCTGGTGCAGCGCTACGGCCACGAGGCCTGCGGTGCGGGGGGGGGGGGGGGGGGCTGGACGGGGCTGGGGTTTGTGGGGCGAGGGGAGCCACGATGGATCCCCGAAATATGGCGAAGGGAACCAGGAAGAGGTCTCTAATCAAAAGAGATGTACCATGTGGGTAATGGCTTTTACTTGCAATAGGGCATCCGTAGGTTTGGCTGCCTTTCATGTTCTTTACATGGATGGGCAGACTATTTGCCATTTCTATACCTGGTTTTGATTGTGACCCAGTGGCCCAATGACCCAAGAGCAAATGGGTTGGAGCCCTTTTGATCGTGGGAACCAAACACGACTTGCTAGGGAATGACCTTTCGGGTGTTGGGGAGGAACCTAAGGATTCCCTGAAAGGAAACCATACGGGATCTTTTTGTTCTTTCTTTTTTCGGGGTCATTCCATTTCTCATTCCCTGCCTATGGAACCAGCAAAAAGGGACGAGGAAGTGAACGAAGCTTCGGCGAAGCCCCGAGGCGCTCCAAAACGGAGTGCTGGACGTGGCAGGCGGCCAGGGGGACTTGTCCTGGGTGCTCAGTGGCCTGGTTACAGATCAGCAAATACTGTGGACGGTTGCGAAATCCGTTTCGCACCACGTGGAAACCGGTTTTCAGGGGACACAACCATAAGGGGTGTCTGTCTTAATCCTTGAACTTTTTCTTGGGCGAACATGTGGGTTCTCAACAGGGTATTCTGCTTCTCTTTTTCTCCTGTTTTTGTTTTTGCACGTCACCGAGCGAATTCTAGCTGAAGTTCGCATTGGTGGGGCGGTGATTGAAGGGGACATATAAGGAATGCTCTTCAACCGCTGACCAGCAACAGTCAGCCTTTTTTTCACTAGATCCTTCACCTCTAGGATCTAGGGCGAACTGTTTGCTGGAGGGTCAATCGCTACCTGCCTATATGATGTGAAGCATTTTCGGTGGACCAACCTGAGGCGATTTTCCTTTGGAGTGATGGGATCGAAGGGGCCATGGTGTTTTTCCACCCCGGATGGAAGCCGAACAGGCTAGCCAATGCATCAGGATGTGTTTTGCTATGCAAAGGGGCTCTTGTTTAGGGCTGCTCTCACAGTCGAAAGCCCTCTCCAAACCATGAGCGCAGGCAATTGCTTTTTTTCCTTCTTTGTTTTGAGGGTCCACCTTTGTGGGTTGGTACAAAGGGAAACCAACCGGACACCGTCCATGTCTGGGGTCTCCCTATTTTGGCACGTACCCGTACTGGTTCCTGGTGCTTCCTTTTCCAGGGACCACCCCTTCCACGCAAGTTTGGGCTGGCATGGCGGGGTTCTTTCCGGCCCGGCAACGTAAATGGTCAGATGCGTGTGCGTCATCTCATTTGGGTCTGTGTCAAAATCGTGGCCCACATTTTGGTATGGCTTCAATGGGAGATCTAGAGAAGCCACTTGGATGGGTCCATAATTTTGAGAGACTGATTTGGACGTGTGGCCCAGTGAATTGCTTGCCCGCCCGTGACATCATTTCAAAGCAGGAACCAGCGATGTCACAGGGGAACCTGTTCTGACTGCATCAGCATCAAGCTTGCTTGGTTGGTCCTTCAAGCCAACTCTCAGGAGCAGGAAAAGCTGCGTTTCCCGCAGCGGCATTTGTGTACCACCTTGAATCGTTTTACCTTTTTGGTCTTGGCCGTTTCCCTCACCAGCAACACGTTTCTCATTTTTTGCAAACCCAGTTTCTGCAAACGACCCACCAAACGGCAGCTTTGACTCATGCCGGTTGTCCTTCGACTTGACCAAATGCATGGAAGGGCCCCCGAAAAGTGGTAGCAGATTCCTTTACGAGTCGAAACGAAGCAACCGACATGAACTTAGCCTCAGGCAAAAGGCCGTAAGCAGCTTTTTGCTCTTCCCCAGCGCTGCCTCTGGAAGAAAGTTGGACCTTTCTCTTTATGGTTTTTCCCGGAATAGGATGGTCTAGAGAGCCTTGGCAAGGGGGCCCAATTTGCGGAGCCGAGGCGTGGAGAAAGGCATCCCCTGCACTTTGGTGGACCCCGCACTAAGAAGAGGCGGGGGGCGGCGTTGTGTGAGCCGACCTCAAGTTGAGAGGACCCCCTTGGGTCTGTTTTTAGGGGACCCCAACAAAATGGTGTTTTTCCTGTTGGTTTCCCTTTAAAAGCCACAACAAAGGGTACCTCCAAAAACAACACACACCCTTGTGAAGTGAAGGCCAATAATTTGGCAGCGGATTCTCCCTTTTTCAGATCTCCACCGGGGTCTCCTCCAAGGTGTTTTACAGGCTTGGTATGGACCAGACTCTGAAGATCCTTTTTTTGCGCACCCCAGATTTGGGCCAAGTCCATTTCAAGAGAATCCGGGGCACTTTCAGCTTTGAAAGAGCCCCATGAACCCCGAGGTCAGTGGCCCGCTCATTCGTTAAGAATTCTTTGGGTCGGTCTGTATTCTTGCGCATGAAAACTTGTGAACGGGGGGTGGGTGGGTGTGCAACTCGTCAAGCACTCGCTGGTCTATTTTTGTCTTTTCCAAAGGGGTTTGTTTGGGACGGTGGTGTCTTTGGGGTGCGGGGTTTCCCACAAGAGTGATTGTGACCATGCCCCTTTTGAACAAAGGGGATATCCACCCCCCTGAAGATTGATTTTGTTTCTTCTTTCTTTCTTTTTGCGAGCCCCCTTTCAAATCCCACCTTAAAAGGGTCAAGGCAACCTTTCCCAGATCTTGCCACGCGGAAGCATGACGGTGTCTCAGATCTGTTGGTTTCCGAACCTCGACAACAGACGGCGCGCTGAAGAGCTGGCAGCGCCGGGCTCTTCGGAAGCGAGGCGGGGCTTCGGACTGAAGTGGGGGCTTCTCGAAACAGGGCCCCACATGGCCTCTGTCCTTTGGCTTCTCAGCGATCCTCGAACCGGGTTGGAGGCTGGCGGTTTGGATTTTGGATTTGAACGGGTCCTTGGCTCTCGTAGAGGGAACCACCCACCAAACAGCCGGTTCGGCTCCAAACCACCCTTGTTGGGGAAGCTGAGTTTGCGGTATCCAATCGAAAAGGGGTCCACCATTTCGAGGGTTCGGTCAAAGTACTGGTCTATGGTTCATTCGAACTCCTTGTGGGAACTTCTAAATTTCAGCCACACCCCCCCGGGACGAGCAATGTTTTGACCGCTCTGACTTGAGGTTTTTGCAGACCACCTTTTTCTATGAACCGCTCCGAGGGTTTTCTCGGAGGACGCAGAGCCCAAGTGGCTGTTTTTGGGTTTGCGACTTGGTTTTTCTTTCGGGTGCTCTCTTCGGATTTGTCGGTGCTGGGTCCTCCAACTTGGAGACGAAGCCATGTGTTTTTTCACCCCTTGGAAAGGTGCCTCTGAAACCGAGCATTTCCTGCTGGTTCCCTACCAACTTGAGTCCCCACTGGGGTCACGCAGGACCCGATGGTTTCCCTCGTTTCCCTTGCATCACCGGTGAGTCTCCCTTTAGGAGTTGTTTCCGGTGTCCATCCCTTCTTGAGGCCTTAGAGTCGGGGAGTCCAAAGTTTCGTTTCACGACTTAGACCCCCCAAAGCCAGACTTCCTGGAGTGGCAACATGTTGGAAACAAGGACAACGTCTTGGAAACAAGGACACGGTTCGCCTTCCCCGTTTTCCCCGGTGGGAGGAGCCTCTTGAAGCACCACTTGAGGCTGGCAGGAGGCGTTCTCGCACCTGGCGGTGAGCTTCGAGGAGCGAAGCGTCGTGTCGGGGAACTTCAAAAGGACCTGGCACTCCCTTCTTTCGAATACGGCCCAGCGGGGAATTGGATGGACAACGCCTCGAACCGTTCTACAGAACGACACTTTTTTTTTCTTTCTTTTTTCCTGTGGTGGGGCCCTTTCCAACCATGGAGCGCTTTCAAATCAGGGGAGACCAAACGGAAGTCACTGTTTTTTTTAGGAGAGTGCTTCTTTTGTGAAGGTATCTGTGGTATCACACGTGAGCTTGGTGGGGCGACGAATACAGAGTGAGCATATCGGCCACCACCGGATCTCCAAGACCTTGGGTTTTGAAAGCTCAAGTATAGCGACATAGCTGGAAGCGGAAACACAGATATGATTCTCAAGCGTGGTACGCCCATCCGTACCGTGCCAGGAGAAGAACTTTGACTCGGGCGGTCACCAGGCGTTGCCGCTTGGCGAGTCTCCAAATCGGACCTCCGATGGGTTTGTCTCTAAATCGGGAATCCCTCAAAATGATCCAAAATGCGTGGTGCCCTTTTGTTTGCCCTTTGCGAGGCACCAAAAAGCATACCCCTTTAAAAAGAAGGCAACCCTGAATGGGGCCGGTTTTTCCTATCACCTGAGTACATAGGATCCAGCAAGTGCATAACAACCACGGTTCTGTCTGGTTGAGGTTGAACTGGGAGTGAGAAGGATCGTCCTTCAGATAGTTTTCCTTTGGGCATTTCAGCAGTGTTGTTTTTTTAATGCAGGAGCCAAAAAGAAGAGGGGAACTGGCATGGTGGCCGCGTAGCCTACTCCTGGGACCGCGTAGCCTCGCGTAGCCTCCGCGTAGCCACTAGCAAAGGGAGCTGTCGAGAATCGTCCGCGTAGCCTCTGCCTAGATCCTTTGTCTTGAGCTAAAGGCTTAGGTTGAAAACTTGCATGTCCCAGAGAAAGAGGGTGAATTTGATTTGCCTTTGGCCCGGCCAGAACTGAGTTCGCTCATTCCGCGTAGCCTCAGCGTAGCTAGCCTGCGCGTAGCCTGCGCGTAGCCTCCAAGGCGTATTCAGGGCCACTACCCTATATGCCTCCTACCACTACTACTACCAGAACTACTACTACTACTACTGCTACTACGACTACTACTACTACTACTACTACTACTGCTAGTACTACTACCAATACTGCTACCACTACTACCGCTGCTGCTGCTGCTGCTGGTGCTACTACCACTTTCGGTTGCCAACGCATATTCCCGTAGCCCCAGCGTAGCCCCCCGCGTAGCCACTTATCAACAAATATGTTCCGCGTAGCCTCCGCGTAGCCAAATTCCTGGGGGGAAAGACAGCCGCGTAGCCTCTGCGTAGGTATGTGCTTCCAGTGTATAAGCCCCACACCATTAAAGAAACACGGCTCATTTGGTCGGAAACGGTACCATTTGTGTGACGTGGTGTCACACACCCACATGTGAGCAGCAGTCAACATTCACATCATTTACTGAGTAAGGGGATGGCATTGGGCACACTCAGCACGCTCCCCAAATTGCCATTGAGACAGAGGTTGCTCACCAAATTTCCGTGTCAGTTGGGAACGTTAAACAGATTGTCTTTTTTGTTCACGGTTCCCATTTTGGGCTTGTTTTGAATGGGTGTGTCCAGGGGACCGGAGCCCATGTTGGTTGGACCAGCCCACGGCTTCCAAACATTTGGTTTACCTGGGTTTTCGGAGGAAGAATCAGCAGCTGCACGCGCACACGGCGGGTAGATGAGTTTTCGGTCGACTGCTCACATTGAGGCTTGCCAGCGCTTCCCTGGTGGTGGGCCTGCACCCCGACGAGGCGAAGCAAAACGGGCTCCAGGTGTTTTTGTTGTCAAGAAAGGTGGGCCAGAAGCAGAAGCCATATTTTGGGTTGGGGCGCAAATGCTGAGGTAGGAGCCTTGCAATGACTCATGCTGCCATTCGATGTGTTTTTAGACATGGCAGTTCAACATGAGCCTATGTTTGACACCACATCCGAATTCCCATCCCTTATGACTCTGTTTCCCCGATGCTTAATGACCTCTGACAGTATGTCGGCGATTTTGTTGGGTGAGGGCTGGTGGGATTGATCCCTGGTTGAGGGATTCATGGCTGGTCTTGGGTAGATTCGGACAACAACCCATAGATCTTTCGGAAACCATCGGATTTTGAATCTAGCCCGTTTGCTTTGAGATGCTTGGGTTTTTTTCTGTTCCCCGAAGGGTGACCACAATGGAACATCAGGTTTTACTGTGAGTTGTCCCCTTGTGACAAACGGTTTGGGGTTGCTAGACAACATCCCACCGCCCAGCGCCTGCCGCCACCGCCCGCCGCCCACCGCCCACCGCCCCACCGCAAGGCTCCCGCCGCGAGTGCGAGTGGCCAGGACAGCTGTGACAGTCCGAAGCCTGAGGCTCCCGCCGCGAGTGCAAGTGGCCAGGACAGCTGTGAGAGTCCGGAGCCTGAGGCTCCCGCCGCGAGTGCGAGTGGCCAGGACAGCTGTGACAGTCTGAAGCCTGAGGCTCTGGCTGCGAGTGCGAGTGCGAGCAGGACAGCTGTGACAGTCCGAAGCCTGAGGCTCCCGCCGCGAGTGCGAGTGGCCAGGACAGCTGTGACAGCCCGAAGCCTGAGGCTCTCCCCGCGAGAGCAAGTGGCCAGGAGCCCGAAGCCTGAGGCTCCCACCGCGAGTGCGCCTGAGGCTCCCGCCGCGAGTGCGAGCAGGACAGCTGTGACAGTCCGAAGCCTGAGGCTCTCGCCGCGAGAGCAAGTGGCCAGGACAGCTGTGACAGCCCGAAGCCTGAGGCTCCCGCCGCGAGTGCGCCTGAGGCTCCTGCCGCAAGTGCGAGTGGCCAGGACAGCTGCGCTTCATGGCACCCTGCCATCTTGGAACCTTATATGTATATATATATAGGTATAAATGCATATGTATATTTGTATTGGAAGGGAGGTGCCAACATGCCGGATCAGAGGTTTTTTTGTGTGAGCTTGTCTGGGTCCTTGATCATAATCGCGTAAGTGCGCAAGTGCACAAGCGCAAGCGCACACACGGACAAACCCGCAGCCCCACAAGCGAAGCGCACAAGGGTCGAAGCCAGAGCAAGCAAAGAAGACAAGGCCCAGGCCAGGGATTCTCAGAGCCAGGTTTGCAAGCGCCCAGACAAACTCACCTCCCTGTAATCTTGGACCTGGGGTGCCTATTGGCCCTGATTGGGTGTCAGTTGGGAGTTGCTGGGGGCTTCTTCTTTCTTTTTTTTTTTGCGGGGGGGTTAGGCTGGCTTAGGTCTTCATGAGGGCAGGTGTCCAGGGCGGGTCTAGGGTTGACTTTGGGTTGGGTTGGCTTGTGTTAGGCGTGCTGCTGGTTTAGCAGCGGCTTGATGTTTGGTTTGGGTGTTTTTAAGTAGTTGTTGGCCGGTTTGGGCTTTTTGGGGCAACGCTCCAAAACCAATGCCATCCGAGACCAAATGATTAAACCAAAATGATGGTCGAAACAACGGCCAATGACGGGCCGGGTCTTGTTGGTCTTTTAACCGATGGCGGTCTCGCGTGGGACTTCCTCGGCCCCTGTATCTCTGGGGGCAAGGACTGGGGAGGTGCTGACCTCTTGAAAACCCAAAAAGAACCCTTTGGGGAACCGCTCCTTTTCCTGAACCATCACTCTGCTGCTTCCCTTTTCCTTGGCTTTTGGCATTGAACCAACACTCTTGCACCATGTGACCCTGCCGAAAGCAAATTGGGCACTTGTCCCTTGGCTTCTCATCTTTCTTCTTGCCATCCTTTTCTTTTCCCTTACCAAAAAGGAACTCCACATTTCGGGGCTTCCGCGTCTTGCCTTTCTCCGTGGCCTTGAACGGTAGGCCACGGAGGCCATCGTGGACCTCGCGCTGCGCTACGGCCGGAAGTTCGCGGTGGCGACTTTGGCGGACTTTGCGCACGGGTAAAGCAGCTGGCTTCCCACGGAGTTTTCTGGACTTGGGTTGTTTTGATTTCCCTTGAAACCACAAAAGAACGGCGCTTCAAACCAACAGACCCTGGTCCTTGCTGAAGGGAAGGCAGCAGGGGTTTGTTCCAATGATAAACATCTTACTGAAACAGCCTCTGCCAAACGGCAAACTGTGTTTTCTGAACTCTCCAAAAGCAAGCCAAAAGCAGATCAGCAGGAAACTCAAAGACACTGACAGGACCACATGAAACCAACAGGAGACCAACAGCAAACCAGAAGGAACCGACCACGTCACAAGGTGCCGTGCTGCGTTTTCGCCCAGCTCTTCCCCCACCGACGTGCACCCGGAGGCGCTTGGGGTGTGTTGGTGTGAGCCGGTTGGGCTGGAAACTCTGCGGGAGGTTCCTGGTTCCGTTCCTGTGGGCTGCCGGGGCCGTTGGTTAGTTGCTGATGGTTTTCCTTTGGACGGGTCGTTTTGATTGTCTTCTGGTCTTGACATGGATCATCAAACCGGTGGGGTTCAGAGTTTCTGCTGGGGATACTCTCACTGGGGTTGAACAAGTGCACGGCTCAAGCCGTGATTGGGCAAGGACGGGCTGCCGTGATTGTAGGCGAATATGACTTTTTCCTTTTTTGGTACCTCCCCAACGAACATGGAACCCACCAGAAGGAGGTCCCCTAAGACGAAAGGACCTCCAGTTCTGATTTGTGGATTGGAGGCTGCGCCCAAGGTCTTCAGAGACAGTTGAGGTAATGTCGAACCCGGCAAAAGGGTGTTGCCCCCCAAAAGCCCAATGCACAAGGGCATCCGCAATATGCAGCCGCTGGCCTTTGGACACCCCATTTTGGCGTGAGCTCCGGAACTTGAGCGAGCCTTTCGGGAGGTGGAACATGTCGCTTTAGGGCCAGCTTCTGCGGTTCCCTTTGCCATCCCCTTGGTGATAATGTGGTCACCATGCCTGGATTCGGTTTGGACTCCCCTTTAAGGTGACAAATAAGTTATCCACCATGTTCCGTCATGCCTGGATTCGGTTCGGGGACACCCAGAAAACACATGGGTGTCTTTCTTTAGGGGAGGGCCCCCCCCCGCCCCCAAAACAGAAAGAACACATGTGGGTTTTCCTTTGGTTTCCCTGCAAAACCACACAATTTTGGTTTGACGTTATAACCACAAAAAAGGGGTTTCCCTTTTGGTTTCCCTTTAAAGCAAAAAAAATGGGAGACTGCCCTGTTCTGTTTGGATGAAAACCGGGCAGGTGAAGAAGTGCGGACGCTGAGCCAATTCTGCGCGTACCTTCGCGCCAAGGACGCACGGATCCAGGCGAGGCCACGACAAAATCCGAGGGGAGCGGTGGTGCCGGGGCTTTTCTTGCGGTGCCCCCCGGGAGAAGAGGAAGGGGCCAAGTTCCTTAAGTTGTTAGTTGGTCAGTTAGTTAGTTTGTTAGTTAGTTGGTTAGTTAGTTAGTTTGTTTGTTTTGGTTGTTAGTTTGTTTGTTAGTTAGTTAGTTACTTAGTTAGTTGGTTAGTTAGTTTGTTTGTTTTTGTTGTTAGTTTGTGTGTTAGTTAGTTAGTTTCTTAGTTAGTTGGTTAGTTAGTTAGTTAGTTTGTTTTTGTTGTTAGTTAGTTTGTTTGTTATTTGGATAGTTGGTTGGTTGGTTGGTTGGTTGGTTGGTTGGTTGGTTGGTTGGTTGGTTGGTGGGTTGGTTGGTTGGTTGGTTGGTTGATTTCTTTGTTTCTGTGTTTGTTTGTTTGTTTGTTTGTTTGTTTGTTTGTTTGTTTGTGTCGCAGTTTGTTTAGCACCTGGGTTCTGACCACCTTGTGGGGCACTCTTCAATCGGACTCAGGATTCCGGCATCCACGCTTATGAGGTCCGGGCTGAAACTTCCCTGTTTATGGTCTGTTGGGGAGCGACAGAATGGGAATCCAGGATGAAGAACAACCCGGTTGATTGAGGGAATCCTTCGCGTTTGGGGGACACATCTATCAATCTGACAGGTTGATTCATCCAGGCTCCGCAATAGTTGGACATAGTTTCATTCCCACAAAAGACAGGCGGGCGAACCTTTTTTCCGAACAACTATCATGTAAAACTCCCCCACACGAGATTCGGTAACATATTTGCAGTCTGCAGCGACTTTCGGAGGGACTCACTAAGTTTCTCACGAAAGCCAGTGGATTCGCTATTTTCCCACTCCTACATGGGAGCCACACATTCTGACCGTGGCTCACATGAGCAAGTAAAACGTCTATTGCAAGTTTGGGGAGGACATGCCGGGCCCGCCCAACAGTTTCACCAGGGGGCCACCCAAACGTCCTCTTGGGGACACATCTTTTTCGTCCGGGGCTCCATGTTGACTGTGCCGTATGTGAAAAACACGTTTTCCATTGCAACCATTGTGCAAGACAGCTTTGTACCCAGGACCCAGGGGTCTCCAAGCCGATTCGTTTGTGGCTCGGTTCACACCCAAAATGATACCTGCACATGGCGAGATCGGAGTTTCAGCCGCGGCATCAGTCAACGGAACGGGGCTTCCGCATGTTTGATTCTTCTGCAATATTTTTCTGCATTGTCTTGGTGCCGCGCTTTCTGGCCATTGGCATTTTGCGTGAGAAACACTGAAGAGAAGCAGTTCATGTCCATTTGTCGCTTTGCGCTGGTTTGAGCTCGGGGCAAACCGCCTCCACACAAGAAAGGCTTTGTCACGGCGTTCTGCATGGCGCTGTGACCGGAGCGACAGGATGAAGCAAGCTTCGGGGCACCTTCTTGTTTGAGTGTGTGGTCTTTGGGTGCACACATGCTTTTGGGACCGAACCATATTGTTGAGCAGGGCTCCTGAAATCATGCAATGTGGCAAACTTTCAGCTTTCCGCCAGGCCCAAAGGAAACACAATCTTGCTGGGTAATCAGGCGGATGCCTCCACCAACACGGAGCCCACTACATTAGAGGAATCTTTTCCAGGACCCCGCGTCAGGTTCCATGTGGATTGGAGGATTGTTCAATTTTGTTAACGACAAACATCACACCACCATGCTTGGTTTTAGGTGGCGAAAGTAAAGACTGTTACGGCTGCAAAGCTTCCTCCCGTCATAGCAAAAGTTGAGAATAGGCAAGAACATACCGCAAAGTTTAGTCCTCGTTGTTCGACCTCACAATAGCGGGGGCCCTTCTTTTTGGATGGCTTTGAAAAGGACGCCAACAGGCACGTGGAGACGTTTTTCAAGTGTGAGAAACCCCAGAAACGTTCGCAAGAACGACAGCTGACAGGAGGCGATGCTGGACTTTGAGGGCCGCAACAAGGTCTTGTACATAGCTTGAGGGGAACGGGTCCCACACTCATCCCAGGCCTCAGATGCGTCCTCCAAAAAAAAACCGTTGGAGGCTTTTTTTTTTTTTTTTTTTTTTTTTTTTTTTTTTTTTTTTTTTTTTTTTTTTTTTTTTTTTTTTTTTTTTTTCTTTTTTTTTTTAATAATCTCTCTCTCTCTCTCTCTATGTTTGTTTATTCTTCCCCCTAGGGGGGTTGTACCTCTAAAGTCAGCTTGGAGTTGTCTTGCAGATGCTGTCAGAGCGCTGCCCTGTGGAAGAGCTGCACTCCCAGGTGGACTCCAAACCGCAGAGTGCCGGCCGGTTGCCAAAGACCAGCCGCAAGTTTCCGCCCAGAGGAAAAGGCCGCGCCGGGCGCAGTTCTATCAGAGCTGTTGGGGGTAAGTCCTCAAAAGCTTTGTGGCTATTTGGTTGGATCTTTGGTCTTTGACTTTTTGGGAAACAGGCCGGATTTTCCCATTGGACCCAGAAAAAGCTAAACTGTTTGCAGAGGAGTCAACAGCAACCAAGACAGGAGTTAGCTGAAATATGGTACGAATAAAGGAGGTTAACAATTCAAGTGGTGTCATTTGATTTCCGGTAAAGCATTTAAGTCGTGGTCAAAGGATCATGTCAGTTGTTTTTTGTCATCGAGCTCCACGGTCTGCTCCGCATTGCCAAATGAATATGAAACTCTTCCCGAATAAATCTGGGGTGGTTCCCATTTGAGGGCCCCACTGTGGGAATGGGGATTTTTTCTGCCTTGAAGCTGCCAACAAACTGACGCAAGTGGGTTGTTTCCTGTGGTTTTGCTGTTCTTTTAAAGATGTCAGTTTTGTGCTGTCGTTTGTTTTTGCCTTTTTCCTTTTCTTTTCTTCTGCGGGCTGCCAAACACCGAAAAGCACGTTCTTTCTGGGAGAGTTCTGAGACGCCGAGGAGTTGCCTCAAGGAACTCAACGGGGAGGACCAGATTGCCTGTGGGAGGGGGTGGTGAGACGGGTGGTTTCGGGGTGTTTTTTCAAAGACTACTACAAACTATTGAAAGGTTTGAAACTCTGATTTGCTTGCAAATTGGCAATTTGGCGCCTTGCTCAGGTTGTGGACCAGGGGGGAAATGATGATGACTGGAGAATGTCGAATTGCAGCGGCACCTTGAGCAACCGGAAGTTGGGTTTGGCCTTTGTGTTAGCTTATGTAAACTCCCGGAACTCCAGGTTCGATTTGGAGAATTTCAGTGCTGTCAGATCCACTTGGAATTATTCAATCTCTGTTGACATCAGGAGTGTTTCCTTTCCAAGAGGGAGAATGCCTCGATTCCGGTTGGGATCATTTCCTGCTGATTGCCCGGAAAAGCTCACACATCAAAAGCCTTATCATGAGCAACTCATATCACCCGTTGTCCTTTCAGTGGCTGGTCCCGGGCGTCATAGAAAGCTCTGAAGTTGGCCGTCGAGAGATATCTCTCTAGTATGGTTGCCACTACACCCAAACCACCGACGGGGGGACATCGGGGTATGTACCCTTTAGTGGTATGTATATGTATATATATATATAGTGCTGTGTATCCCATTAACCTCCTGGAGTAGTGGTTTGGGGGTTAGTGCATATCAGTGGTCCAAGCACATCTTCCAAGGCTGGCGAAGTCCAATCTTGCCTGGAGACTTTGGCTGCGTGGGACAACAGGACATACACAAAGCAAGGGCTTGAGTGGTTTTGGCCGGATCTGGGCTACACCCCTTGCAGCCCCAAAGATTGCAGATAGGGAGACCTCGATACCTCGGTACTTTGGCCACAGGCGGTGTGTCCACCAGCATTTGGGGTGTGCCATCTATCCGATGCTCTCCGATGCTATCCGCTGGAGGTCCTTCAGATTCGTAGAGGGTAGAACAACCCAAGCCTGTTCCTTTGACACCGAGGGTAGAGACACCAGGCTTTTCGTTGGTGTTGCAACCGACCCGCCTTCCCCGATTCCCCGATTCCCCGATTCCCCTCTTTTCCGGAGTGGGAGTGCGCGAGGACCCGAACTGCATTTTTATCGCCCGCCACATCGGCGGCTTGGGATTTCAAGCTCAGGAGGCGGGAGGAAGAGATCTCTTGAGGATCGCCAGAGGGGTGCACAGGAAACTCACTTCCTGAGTTCATGAGCTTGAACAACCTTTTGGGAAGACCATTTTAGTGGCACATGTAAAGTTTGAACTTTTCTTGGGCCATCCACTCAGCAAGTGAGGAAATGAGTCGGTGAATGCATGCGTCGGCCATGGGAATGAGCGATGTGTTATATCCCGTCTATTTGGTTTCTTGGCTGAAGTGCCCTTGCCAATATATATTTTTTGGGAACTGGGGCAGTCGGACGTCCCAAGTTCTTCAGGCGCTGTCCGGCTCAAAGCTTTTGCGGCCAACCAAGGAGCCATGGTCCAGTTTTGAGCCTCCTTTTTCTCCCTCGACTCAGAGTCTGTTCAACCCAAAAGGTTGGTCAGAGAAGTTGGCCAAGTCACTGTAGTTTGACCTGAGCAAACCGCTTGACCATCCTTCATCGGTCTGTACTTCTTGACAAGGCGTTATATTTTGTTCAGCTGCTTAGAACATGACCAAAGTTCGCACGGAAGCCAGCTTTGAGCTGTTGGCTGCTCACACCCATCCACTTCTCCAAACAAAAGTGCGTGATAGAGGCCCCAGTGTCGCCTGCTCTCAGAGTCTTGACACTTCAACAGGCCGTTTTGAGGTAAGCCCCGGAGACGGCGAGCGCGACTCGCGCCAGGCGCTCTGGCATCACTACACCAAGTTCGGGAAGGTCAAGAAGGTGCTGGTGTCCCCCAAGGCCGAACCCGAGCCAAAAAATGGGCTTCCCAGAGGTTTTCAGGTGCAGGTGATACGAGTGGCCCCTGGGGTTGCAAAACACATCCCAAGGGTAGGTCCCCCCGACAAACTTAAGATCACTCCGCATCCGAATGCCCAGGATTTGACTTACTTCTTGTTTGGCCGGCCCCTCACTTTGGGCCGATTCAGCGGCTGAAGGGGGCTCGTTTCTCAGCATTTGATTCCAGGAGCTGTCGGGAATATGCCGGGCTCTTATGTGCCATCTGAATGGTTATCTATTTGAGGAAGCGGTTGCCACGTTTAGGGCCCCCAGTTTCTGTGGTCAAGGTCCTCCAACGCATCCCACTAGGGGCCACCGAAATTTTGATTTTGGGGTTGCCACGTTCTTTAATACCCTGAAGAATCAATCCTCTCAAACATGTTACAGTTTTCATGGGGCCGGGAACTGTCATACAACGGCTTTGCGGGGGAGGGGGTATACTCCAAAGGTTGGGTCGATATTTCCAGTAGTCTATGGTCTATTCGGGAGGGAACTGGGCGACTTACTAAACTTCCCGCAGAAACCAGTAGATTCGCTACTCATGTTGGTTTCGTTTTCATGTAATATTTCAGGGGAGTCTATGCTACGCGGCAATTCAATCCCAGTTGCAACGATCTGACATGTCCATACAGTTTGCGAAGCTTGGTCGATCTTTGGTCAAGGCTCGAATAAAATACCCTTTACTACCAGATCGTATGGGCAAGTGACAACCTCACTGGTCCCCCTGCAAATACCAGTGGTGTCCTTTTCTCAGCATCTTCCGAACAGGAGTGCTCGACAGGGGGACGGCTCTGCAGCCTGCTTTCTGCTTGGGCGCGGTTTGCGGGTTGAGTTGGTTTTGTTCAATGGGCAACCCGGCAGGATAAAGCCACAACCAACCAACAAGAATCAAAAAGAACACCGGTCAACAAGGATGGCCCAAAAAGGGAACAGGCAAACCATAAAAAACAGCAGACCAGCAAAGCAGAAAACACCAGGCAGCCACTCAATAAAAACAAAAACTGGTCCAAAACCAAGGTCCGTCCAGCTTGCCGCCTTAAGCCCCCCTCCCACCTCAGCCGCCAGGCAAAGGCTCGCAGCCGGGGGCTGGGGGCCGAGCTGCAGGGGTGGGGTGGGGCTGGGGAGTGGGTTGGTGCCGGCCCTGGCTTTGTAGACAGGAATATCACCGCCATGAATAGTTTTTTTCTTCTTCTTTTTTCCAGCATGCGAACGCAGACGAAAGGGCATGTGCTTACACGAAGGAGCCTTTTAGACGAATCCCTTTTCACGCAAAATACATATGCCACTTTACTCCCGTTGAATTTGGAGCCATGAGGGGTTCCCCAAACGAAGGCTTTGAAGGAATTTGTGCTATGACCGACCTATGCCCACCCTTTCCTGCATAACGGCCGGTTTTGAACCAGTTTTAGGTGTCCGTTATCCGCGTGAGAAGCGGAGGATCCTCGTCTGATTGGCGACAGGTAGTAAGAAGCATGCCAGGCGCCAGCACGATGATGCGATCTGGTCGGGTGTTTTGTGCGACGCCGTGTGATTATCGAACCACCGGGAGTCAAGCGGTTGTTCCATGCTAAGTTTGCTGGCGAATCTTGGTGTTTCAGAAGGTCGTGGGAGCAAGCTACTTGTTCCCTTTATCAGTCCTTGATTACAAGGGTCACGAGTCACAACAATGGTCATTCAGCACTTCAAGCAGCACCTTTGTTGTAAGAGGGGCTGTTCTTCAGCAGATTTAGCACACAACTTTTGATCCAGCCTTTCCATTATGAGCCCAAAAGGAATCATTTTTCCGGCATTTTTTCCAGTTCTCCAGGCTTGCTGCTTTTTCACCCATGGCGAAGAAGCTTCGCGCCTTGTTTTCAGACCGCAAGTTGAGACTTAGATAGTGTGTTAGCTCATTGGTTAGTAAGCCTAGCCACTAGAGAAACCGAGGGCCAACTGGGGAGAATCTCAGGGTTACTGAGCACTTTAGCTAACTGCCAAAATATCCGGGCAATGTTGACCCCATATTAATGAACTGCAGTTTATTACCCCCCTGGGGTCAACATCCAGCGCGTTCAGTACCGAGCTGGTGAAATGAATCGCCCAGGTTGAGAAATCGTCCAGTTCCTTTGGGCGTTGTGGCCGGGGACCAAACATGTTGCGCTCCATGGGCCGGGCGAAAACTCCTGGCAAGAGCTAGGGCCGAAATCATGCGAATTGGAGTTGTGGGGGTACTTCAAGAACCAATTCAGCCATTAACGATTCGACAAACAGGTTTTTTCACCAAGATCTTGTTGAAGTTGTCTTAGATTTTATGATTCGCTGCACGCGGTGCAGAATCAGGAATCATAGTTTTGGTCAGGGGGACAGGCTGCGGAAGGTATTCCCATATTCCCAGACATTTTCCCATAAGAGGAAGGTATCATATTCCATACGACAAGTAAGTTATTTGTCAGAATCTTTTTGAGTGCAACCGTTTCGGGCGCCGGATCCTTTGCATGAAAAAGTTCGCGCTTGGGCGTTCCTTTGTGGTGAATCCCAATCAGGGTTCTGGACCTCCAAGTCCTGCGTGACATCTCAAGGCTCGTCAAGATCTTTTTATGCGTGGAACCCTTGTTTCAGGCGCGAGCCCTGGGCAAAACGAGCGAAACAAGTCCCAGAATGCAGGGCCTTTGACACGGGTTAACTTGAGTAACATGTGCCATCAAATCATCGTTTGACTCTGACTGGCTGGTTGGGGATGGTTATCTTGATCGGATTTTGTTGGACCCGGGTTAGGCAGCGATGACTCAACAAGTGTCGAATGGTTCTTAGCCGGTTATGGGGAGGTTGGTAATTGGTGGTTTGGATTGGTGGTTTGGGGATTTGAACCCACCCTAAGCACCAAACCACCAATCCCAACCACCGCCTAGATGGAAGCTGAACATGAAGCTACCTGACCTGGAAAACCGTTTTGCAGGCCCAGGATATGTCCGATGTCCACCAAAGACAAGGATCACGCTGCATTCAACATGATGATCTTGGTCATATGCATGTAGACCTGTATATATATATATATATACATCATCCATGTGCCGGCAGAGTACTATGATGCACACATACACACACATCTGAAAGAATAAGGAATCTTCAAGGACCGGGGCTCCCTTGCCGGTGTTCTTTTGAGCCTTCGAGTGGGCATGGGTTCTCAAGAGATGTTTGGTTGGCAGAAGGCCGGTTTCATTTCGCCCCGGCAGGATTTGCAACCAAACAAGTCTAAGGACTTGGGAAGAGAGAGAGAGAGAGAGAGAGAGCGAGAGAGAGAGGGAGAGAGAGAGAGGCAGAGAGAGAGAGAGAGAGCTGCCCAGAAAGAACCTCACAAGGCACTTTTGTTTGGAGGGAGACTCCGTGTACCCGAAAAAAAAGCAACAAAATACCTCCTGTCATTGCCGAAGGTCATGGAGACTGCTGGCGGGGTGAGGAAGATCCTAGCTCAGGGCGAGGCCCCGGCCGACGATTCGCCCGTTCGAATTTCCGCGCGCTCTCAACGGCTTGCACAGGCCTCCCAGGCATCTGAAAGGAACCGATTTTCAGCTCACGGTTTTCTTGGAGCGAGCCTTGCCTTGCGGCCGAAACGGTCGGGAAAGAAACAGCCGTTTCTTCTCTCTTCTTTCTTTCGATGGGTTGGCTCAAACTTTGCGCCCTGGTTTGTTTTTGGACCTCCAAGTTGGTTGGCGTGTCAACTTGCCAGACGTGGAACCTGGGTGCCAGGGTTCAATTGGGGGCCAGCTCCAACTTCAACTGTCAACCCCACATTTTGGTTTGTTTTTGAGGAAAGCCTTGAAAGGAGTCTTTTTCAAGGGGACACCAAATGCATGCGCGGCTCTCCTATTTGGAGACCAACCCATTTGGAAAAAAACATATAGGGAGTCTGCCTACAAAGGGAATGTAACAACACCCACACACAAATGCTGGGATCTTTTTTGAACTTGTTTTGCATTTTTGCTTGTGGGCAACACCGAGGTAGAATGCGGTTTACCACCCCTTCGGACACGTGCTTTGCGGGGTTTCATTGCTGGAGGCCCAGAGCAAACCGTTTCTACATTCTTTTGATTTGCTTGCGGCTCTGTTTTCATTTCTATTCCGTGCTAGTGCTTGTCGTTTTCTCTTTTTTTCATTTCTTTCTGCTTGAAGTTGTTTTCCTATTTCAACTAATTGCAAGGCTATGGTTGAGTTCACAAGTCACGGGATCCCATCGTCCTTGCTTCCCGGTTCGGGGGACAGGATTGAGATCCTATGACTACGAATGGTCTTAAATGCTTCACGGTACTTGCAGACCCCTTTCACGACAGGGGGTAAAAAGAGCTCCCACGTTTTGGGATTCCTTACTTTGGGTTTATGAATCGTGAATCCGCTCAGATACCGTGTGTCAATGTCCTTTGCAGATCAGAAGGGAATGCTCGTCGTTGCAAGGAACACTGCTTTCCGTCCAAGCGCTTTTTTTTCTTCTCCGGGGAGATGCTTGTACATCCCGGTGCTTGGCCCTCCCAGTCAGACACGTTTCTCTTTGCCAGCGTTTCGCCGGCCTTTGCCCGAACCTGAAGATACCTGAGCCTCACTGCTCGCCCTCCGACCCATGAAGCCAGACGTTTCGGTGGGGCCCTTGGACCTTGGAGCCTTCCGGTAGGTCCCATGGCGACGGGAAGCGAGCGAGTGGGGTGATCGCTGACGAAGCTGTCCGTTGGAATTCACAGCCCGGCAGTTGGCAGTAACTTGGTACCGTAAACATCTTCGAGAACTGGAACCCGCTGGAACCGAGAAACGCATTCCCTTCGCCGACAAACCGAGCCGAGGTGTTCCTTTCCCGGGAAATCCTGAGGTTCTTTCAGGTTCCTTCAGGTTTCTTCAGGCTTCCTTCGGATCCAGGTCCCTTGGGCGCTTGGTGGTCCCCGTTTTGCAAAACGCGAGGAGCAGCTCGTCAACGGGCACCTGATCAAGGTCCAAGGCTTCGAGAAGCCCGGCAAGGCGTGGATCTGCGGTTGAGACAACCAGAACCTTTCAGCCCCAAGGGAAACCACCGAGGCTCTTTAAGCGGTTACTTTAAGCATATTCAAACAAACCCTTGGCCAAAGCAAGCCTTGGGCGAATCGGCCTACTCCACCAGATCTCCCCCCCACCAGATCTCCCCCCCACCCCCCTCCCCCGAAAGTAAGGAGGCTATCACAAGCACGGCGAGTCTCGTCGTTTTGGCATCCCAACCGGCGGAACAGGCGTTTTGTTTGCAGGTCGGGTCAGTCTGGCCCAAGGAAAAATGACTGCGTGCGAGGGTACATGCCCCAAACATATAGGCCTATGTATCCCCTCTTTCTTCTCTACACAATGTAAGCATATATATATATATATGCATGTATCTATGCACATAAACATATACACTAGATTTTATATTTAGCAAAGGTAGTATTTGATTGGGCGTCCAAGAGAGAGGGTCCTTGGACAACATGTACGGAGTTGCCCCCCTAAAAGTGGTAGTTTAAGTTCCTTCCCCAACAGCGACAGCGATTTGGGTGATATTTGTTGGAGGCATGTCTGAGGCTAATTCAACATTTGCTCCAGGCTTGCCATCATAACCTCGAATATACATATATATATATATATATATTCATATATAGAAATATATTTATACTATATGTATATGTATATATATATATATATGTATATATACTGGAATGTGGGGAAGAAGGGGAGGTGTTTCTGGGGCCAGGTCTGGGGGCTTTTGAATTGGGCGCTGGAGTCGCCAGGCGCGGGCAAAGGGCACGGCCCGCTCGAAGGCGAACGCTGTCTCAGAGGACCTGCGCATCGAATCCTGCCCCAAACTGCTGGGAACCAGAGCGGGGCAAGATTTGTTTGGCCCCTGGTACCCTTTAAACAGAAGCCTTAAGAAGGTTGATTGAACAGGTGTAAACGAGGTCACGTCGCCATTAGCGGCGCCGTTCGTTGTACAAAGCAGGCAGAGTGGATGGAGTGCGCACATAGCGAAGCCAAGCATCGCAGACAGCGCCTTCCCAGCAACAGACTTTGGAAGTCATGCTGCGCCTGCAAAGCAGCCTACTATGGACGAGACAGCATCATTTCAAGAATAAGCACTGAAAAGCTCATGCAGAGCATCCACGGTTTCCATAGGCTCTCGCTGCCAGCATGCTGGGAGTGGTGGCAAGCTTACGCAAGCCAGTCGCAAGAGGAGCACAAGAGCTAGGTACTGCGTTTCTTGGGAGGAGCCCGCCATCTGCGGTATGTGTGCAAATCTCAACTCGAGTCCATACACAAGATCCCAGAAAGCCGAAGCGAGAACACAAACTGACAGAGTCTGAAGCATTGCAATGGTTGCCCCCAACAAACCGCACACTGAAAGGAACGCAACTACCCCACCCCACCCCACCCCACCCCACCCCACCCCACCCCACCCCACCCCACCCCACCCCACCCCCCACCCCAAAGATGAGCTGTTTGCAGCCGTGACAGTGAGGAATGCGCGAAGCATTTCTTGTGAATGCCACCTCACCCCACCCCCAACCCCACCAACCCAACCCCTCCTCAGTCAAGAAAATGAGCGTTTCGCCCCGTGCTGCTAGTGGCGGCGTGAGCACAAACAACATACAAGTTTGTCTTAAAATAGGGGACCCCCCCCAAACAAAAAATGGGTGCTGTTTGTGGTTTCCATTTCAATCTGCCCTCTTAACAGACAGACTCATATGGTTTAAACATCTTACAGTTGGAAACCCTTGAGTTGGGCCTTTCGCTTCCCCAACAAACTGGTGTGTGTGTGAGCCCGGCACCAGAGCTGCTCCAATTGAATCTTGGCGAAGCAAAAACAACCTGACAACTTGATGTCTAAAAAACCGACCATGGAAAAGCCCAACCCCTCATGACATACCCCTCCCCGCCGCCGCCCCCCCCCCCCCCCCAAAAAAAAAAAAGAAGAAGAAGAAACAAACAACAACAAAACAAAACCCAAAAACACCAACAGTCGCAAAGCCCGGCACGCAAAACACCCGTTGTAAGGTCAGTTTGCTCAAAGTTCCACTGTTTTTTTTTGTGTCTTGTTTTTCTCCGTGTGTTTCCTTTTCACCAGAGCCCATGGGATTTTGTTTCACCCGGCGACTGTTCCAAAACCCTCAGGACGGCAGTTCAGGGGACCAGGTGGCGGAAGGGCCCGGGTGCCCGCACGGAGAGGTTGCGCCGGCTTCTTTTCCCGCTCGGCCTCCGTAAGTCAGGGGATCCTTGATCCGGGTGTCCTCCGGTTCCTGTTTTGGAGCCTCCAAAAGCGGCAGTTAATGGACACCACCAGTAAGTTGCAACTTTTGAAGGGGAAATCCAGTGACCCCCTTTGATTGGTGGTTTGGATTAATGGTTGGGATTTGAACCCTTGGTTCTTGTGGGAAGATGGAAGACGGGAAACCACTTGCGGAACACCTCCAACAAACCGCCAATCCAAACCATCAAGAGCGCAGCTGTTTCAGGGGAAGCCAAAAGAACACATGCCCACTTTTGGGAGTAGGTTGACACATACCCGAAGGCTCCTCCGGCTATACAATTCTGATTTCGGTAGATGGAATGCCAGGCTTTGATGGTGAATAGCAGCATTAGGCCCTCACGTATTGACACAACTATTGTTGACAAAGTCTCATTGTGGTTTTCCTTTCAAGGGGATCAGGGTCTGGTTGTTTTAAGACGTATTGCCCAACCCTGCCGATGATTCTATGGTTTTCCTAAGCCAACTATTCGGAATCTGAGAGAACAAGAGCATGCTTTTCTTTTGGACATGTTTTTGCCAACGCCCATGCCGGGAGGTACCGACCCCATTCACAGCTAGGAAAAAGGGCTGCGACTTCCTGCCACATTAGTCATACCAAAAACTGACCCTGGTGGGAGCTCTATGGTTTCATGATGCACCCATACGGGATCGTTTCCCAGAATGAGCGGTTTCCTGCTATGGTGTGCTTTTGCGTCCCTGAGTTTCGACGCCACTTGGACTTTTCGGTGGGCTATTGAGACAAGCGATTCAAGGAAGGACTTCATGGCCCCGTCTCTGAGGAGCTGGGAATTCTGATGGCCCTCAGACGCCTCCTGGTAGTTGGGCGGCCCGGCCGGGCCCTCCCCAAGGTGGTCATAGGATTCCTGTCTCCCCTTATAGGGGTTGCGGGGGACAGGGGGTTAGGGAGGGTGGATTGAACTGAAATCCTGTGAGTGTCCCATTCATTTCCGGCGAATGACAGTGTGCACGACCGATTTGAGCCATTCTCACCGGTCCATGTCTGGTCTCCAGCTTTTGTTTTGTCTGCTTGGGGACAAGTGCAACAGGAGATGGATGAATCTTCGCCAAACAAACCAAGGAGCACATGATCCAGTCAGCCTTTTCGGCCACCCACCTCATTGGATTGGGTGGGGCTGAGGTAGTCCTGCGAAGCCCTTCGGTTCTGTCCTTTGCAGGGCGGCCAACATACTTCGGGTGTGGCCTTTTTTTTGGGGTGCCATTCTGGTCATGGCTGGAAAGCTTATCCAGATCTCCAGGATGAGCCATGCCTGCTTTTTCGATTGGCAGACTGGCCAGCCGGGCAATTCGCGGTTGAAAGTTTTAATTTGGTTGATACAAAGGGAACTAGGTAAGTCCTTTCCAAGCATGCACGTTTGCTCCAGTTGTGACCTAATTTGGCAATGTCAAATTTATTTGTTGAATACCATGCAAGGGGGCTTAAGCCCCAAGAAAACCGAACCAACAGCTTGTTTGATTCACTCCAATTTCACACCAACTGCTTGCTAGGGCGGCCAACACATGCAGGAGAGACCTTGAGTCTAGACAATTCTACGGGCCGTGAGGCTACTAAAATTCCGCCTACAGAACTGATTTGTGCGGCTTTTCCAGCCTCCTCAAGCTTGGCTTAGGTTGCTCAAAAGTTGCGCCCCTTGGATGCTCATCAAGGTGTGTCTTTGTTTCTTTTTTTCCTTTTTTTTTTTTTTTTCGGGGAATTGCAGTCTGCCCTGTCCCCGCTGATGGTTTTCATGCTGGCTTCCCTTCAAAACCCGCCAAACGCGGGTCCCCCCCAAAAGCGGGGAGGCGCCCAAAAACCGCTGGCCGAGGCCTGCTTGCAGGCCGCGAGCGAGAGTCGAATGATTCGAGCCATGACAGCGGAAGCTGAGTAACCCATGAATTGCCGAAATATCAACATGGATGCGTCTCACATTAGGGAAGTGGAATGGTTTCTACTATTGGATTGTCATGCCTCCCCTTGTAGCTCTAAATACTTCATGAGGGGAAGGCGCTCTTTGAGTCTTGTCTGTTGAAGTTCGGAACTGGCGCACAAGATGTAGTGTATCTTTAATGGGTTTTGCTCTGGCTTTTATTCGTTGTTCCTCTGCTTTTCAGGTTGCTTTCCTCCTTTGAAACCAGAAGTGGAACCAAGCGGATGACCAAGAGCGGGCATACCAAGTGGCTTTTTGACCACATGAAGCCGACTCATGTTGACGGCGAGCTGTCGAACGGGGGATGGGCAATTCAGGTTGAAATTGTGTGGCTCGCGCCGCTTCTCGTATGAGTCACAAGCAAGACCAGGGTAAGAGAGGTTCATGGGACCGCCCCTTTTGATCGCTCACGTGGTTTTGGGTAGACAACATGTGACTACCATATTGACAGGCGAACGATTGGAAGGTCCAGCGGGTCCTCAGCAGGCTCCGTGACACGTGCCTGTCAACCCATTGTGTCAAAATGTTATTTGCGGGCGGCTTCCTGTGACAGTGATCAAGGGAATCCTTTTCGAAGTGAAGAAGAGGAATGACCCGTGGTATCACAGATTTCGGGTGATTTCTCACCATGATTTGGTCCCATTTTTGGTTGGAGATCCTCAAGTTGGAGCAACAAAAACCACGACAACAAAAATGATAACAGTGACAACGACGACAGCAGCAGCAACCACAACAGTAACGCCGACGACGGCACTCAGCGTCTTGCCACGTCCGTTTGGGAAGTGACCTCCTGAATGTTGCGTTGTAAACATGGCTTGCCAACAGGCAACAGAAGACCTCTGTCATACATCGAATAAGGATCCGCCAAAATAGCGAGTTTCTTTTTGGTGTCCCCTTGAACCAATCTGAAAAGGGTGCCCTCATAAACAGGTCAGTCCGGGAACCCAAGAGCAAAACGGAACAACATGATGAACATGATGCATCTGCAAAAATGAATGGCCATAAAACAACCGCGTCCGCCCCCGTCAGCCCGGTCGTCCACAAAAACACGATATAGCTACGCCAGTCCTGCGTCTAGATTTAGCTAAGAAAGAACGCAAGCATCACAGTTGTGTTTGGAAAGCAATCAACGTACGTGTTGTCCATAAAGGACACCAAGCGGCCATCGAATGCATTTAGAACAGGGGAGAAGCAACGCTTGCAACGTATGACTCAACATTTGTCATGCTCTCGTCAGGGTAACAACGACTCGAACGCACGCACAGTGGCCGCTCGGCAGTATCAAACGGGGCCAGGGATCCGGAATGCCGACCACCTGGGACAAAAAGCACCCCGAGCTGCCCTGAAAGCGTCAACTTTACAGGTTTCCAGCACAAAAAAGGAATGTCGGTCCTTTCGACGCCCCCTTCGGGCAGATTCGTTTTGTATCGGTTGTAAGTTGCGCTTCACTCATGCGTTGCCACGCCAGAGCTTACCCACCAATGTCTCCGTCAGTTTTTGTTTTGGAGACATGGCATGGGACGCTGCGTTTGGCATTTGAGAATTCGGTTTGGGCGTTCCAAGGTTCGAGAGACACCAATTCACTCTGGGCTCCCTGAAAAAAATGGCTCATTCCACGCCTGTCGAACTCGCAAGTTTCCCCATGAGGCTCACCTTCCCCTGGCAAAGGAACATGCTGCATCTTCTGCTCCAAGCTAAGTATGAACGCGAGGGGGGACGTTCGTCGCAGTTGGGGTGAGGATGTTGAGGGGTTATCAAACGCGCAAAAGGAGCGGCTTCTGAGGAAAGAGAGGAGTTGCCCTCCCTAAGATGGTTGGAATCGATTTTGTGAAACTGCTTGAAAGGATGCCCCTTTACCCTCGCCCTTTGCCCAGGTCCTCTATGTACCGGGTTCCAGCTTCATGTCCCATGATCTGAGGACAAACGCTGAGAAGCGAATTGAAGATTTGCCTTGAGGCGTGTGGGGGGGGGGGGGTGGGCGGCAGATGCGGTGGGACTTTGTGTAGTGCTTGGTACGCAAAAACGTGTTTGCTAAGTTGGCAAGCTCTTAGCCGTTTGTCGGTGGGCATCTTCATCTTGTCTTAGTTTATACGTACATGCAAATGTGCGCATACACAACAAATTTGTCAAGCGTCCTTGTGTTTTTGTATGTGGCTGTCTTATGTCGGCAGTTAGTCTTGGTCGACTGGTTACAAATGCGGAGAGGTCCACTTCCCCTTCCCTTTCCCCGGCTCCGGCTTTCATGGCGATGGCGAGAGCACAGAAAGCTGGGTACTGGAAGTTTCGCTGACAGTCCCAACCACAAACCTGGGCAAGTCAGGAGCTCGACTGATAAAACGAGCGAAATGCCACGGGTGTCCTTGACCTAAAAGCCCTGGTCTTGGAATTGGGGCGTTAGATACTTGGGTCTGGCCACCCGAATTCGTGGAGTGTTTTCGTGTATTTGGGTTTCAGGTTTCATAACTCTTGAGTTCTTTGGGGTGCAAAGCAGCGCTCGCCCGGTGGCTGCTTTGTGGTCAGATCTGAGAGGTCACGCTTTCATCACCGCATTCGCTAAATTGCTAGCGACCCTTCTCCCCAGGAGGATGCATCAGGAGCATAAGCAAGGGCAAGTCTAATCAAGAAGGTGAATCCCCCAAGGCCGAATGCTGGTTGTGTCGACCACGACGGCCTTTTGACTTTCCGGGACATGACGAAGGTCTTTCCGTCAGTTTGCAAGCAGTTTGTAATCAGTTCAATCCACAGGGCTCCTTGAACTACGTCCGAAAGCCATTTGCTTTGTGAAGGAATCTTCAATTCAGCTGGCAACAGCTTTTCAAATCCAGCATATCCAGCCAATAAAGCGCAGTCGCCAACAAGCCTTTCACTTGAGTGCGCTGTTGCAACGCGAGTGACCTAGACGGGGTGCGAGAGACATCAACCATGTGAGTTTCACATGCTGCTTGGCAGCAGTTTTGCCTGATCACGTTTTGCTCCGTGCATTTTCTTTGCGGGCCTGCCAAAAGGACTTGCTTCCGTCGTTTTGCTGGGGTTGGAAGTCCAAAGAAACCCTTAGGCAGGATTGTCCTTGTTGCCGACACGTCTATGGCTTCCACTACCGGGACCCAGAGGTTAGATGACAGACATATCCCCAGGTTTTTTGTCTCTGCGGTTTCAAAAGCTTGCTTACTTTACAGAGCATGGAACCAAACCGGGGGTTGTTTGTCTACTGTCATTCTTTCTCTGGCGAGGGCAAGCGGCACAAGCGCACTTGTTGCCTGTGCAAGTAGTCCGTGTAAGCATGATACATAGATGGAAACTGTGCAACTGCGTCCGCGCATGTGCAATCTCTGTGCATAAATTTAGCTCCCTGCGTACGTGTTTTCTCTCTCTTTCTCTCTCTCTCTCTCTCAGACTCTCTGTCTCTTTTTCTCTTTCTGGAAATCAGTTTCTGGGCACTTTGTGTCTTTGCATATCTCTTCGCACCTTGCCGAAAGTCTGTGCATCTCCGCGCAATTTCACTGTGCATTTTGCTCAAGCAACAACTGTGCAAGCACGTAGTATCTCTTTGCCCACAAGCTCTGTGCAATATGTCCTGTGCAAGGTTTCTCAAAGCTTCCTCTATGCAAGCACGCCCTATGCAACATAATTACAGATAATTCCACTGTGCAGTTGTCCTTTGTGCATGAACTGATCAAGTTGTTTTTTCTTCTGTCCTTCCTGTGCAAGAGGGTGGTACCTTAGCAAATTTCGGTGACCCTTGAGGGGTTCTCAATGATTGTCAATGATTGTCAGTGGATGGGTTCAGCGGATTCTCCATGATTGTTTCTTTGGTGGCGCACGAAGCCAACTATTACCCCTTAAACGGGGTTGACCAATCACCTCCCCAGA